TTGAGTAAAGCAGGTACAGAGGTAACAGGTACATTGACCAAGGCACAATGAAGAATGGCGGCTTGTAGTCCAAGTGGTGTCAGTGATTGACCATTGCCCTGGAAGAAGATGGGATGGAAAGAGTGAGGTTGTATTTTGACATCGCAAGATCTGGCCGAGCATCTATGCACCCAAGCCTTGCGTACCTTGCAGTAGTACATGGTGCTCAGAGTTCCATGCGCACAGCGAGGACAAGCTCGACCTTCCCATCGGGGTAGGACACTTTTCTGCTTTCCAAGACCTCTGGAAAATTGTGTTTTTTTTATTTTTTTTGTTTTTTTTTGGTTTTCTCGAGGTTTTTGTACTTTTTCCAAGGGGCCCTCCCCAAAGATTCTCAAAATGTCATTCTTGATTTGTTCAAGTAGGTTGTATTTTTCTTTCGTTTATTGTTGTGCCTTTTTTGGCCGAAATTCGGCTTTGATGTTATTATTCTTTATATCATTTGTAGCGTTTCATATATAAATATTATTTCAGACAAAGTGTTTTTTTAACTGTATTTTCCATATTTTTAATAAATAAAATCCGCCTGGTCAGCCCTCCCAACGACAATAATCAAGTGCGGGTCGAGGGGGGGCCGCTGACCATATATATATATATTTATTTATATATACGCACTGTATATGTATAGTAACCCAAACATAGATTCCATGGTTCCAGTCACCACCAAGCAGTAAGAGATATCCTCGCACCTCTGGTGCCAAAAACCTCAAAATCTTCGCGGTAAACGTTGACACTTTGCGAACTGGAAAATCAACATGTTTTTTCATGGGAAAATCATATTTCAATGGCCATTTTTAATATTTCTAATGGGGAAATCACCATGTTTAATGGGTAAATCACAATTTTTAATGGACAAATCAACTATTTCTATGGCCATGGCTTCAATAGCAAACTGTAACAAATTACCAGAGGGTACAGGATGGGGCCCCCCAGTGATGTTTGTTGGTTTATAAACCAATATAACCCCCATTAACTAGTTCGTTATATCTACCATAAACCAGAGTTAATTCAGCCACTTTTTTTAGGCAACTGAACGCTATCGAACGGGGGCCCCATCCTGTAGATCCTGGTTCCCCCAGCACCGGCACGAGCAGCGGCACCTTGAGGTCAATGCTTCCCGGTGGATTGACACACGCATGGTGATCCACGCACTGTGGGTTGAAATCCTGGTGAGGTGCCACCATAAATGGGGAAATCCATGGAAATCACCATCAAATGGATGGTTTATTTCATGGAAAATCCTAATCAATTGAGATGTTTAGAATGGAAAATCCCAATCTGAGATGGGTGATTTGGGGGTAGCCCTATTTTTTTTTTGAAACCTTCATTTGAATCTGAATGACCCAAGATGTCACGTGGCGACTAGGCTACATCTCGTGGATGTTGCAATCGCGTCATTCCCAAAACTGAAAAAAAAAACATCCAACCCCTCATGCCAACACAGTCGAATTTAGTCTGGAGTCCTAAGTTGTTGCATGCCCAAGTGATTGTCAGACATATCATGTATCCTCAGTTTTGCGGGCTAACTCGGCTTTGCGTGGTGATAGTCCTTCATCTTGGTTGCTGAAATCACTGTGTTGGCTCGTACATTCCCAACGTCTTGCTGTGTGAGTGAACTTTATCAACTGTTAAGCCCCTGGGAACACAGCAAATGTCGACCCTGTTTGGTCATTTTTTGGGTAGTTGCTAGTAGATTCAGAGTTCCACGGCTCTCCAGTTTTTGCTGGGAACATGACTGACTGACTAACCATAGCTCCGCATCGCTCCCTCCTAACCCCTGGATTTTTGGCTACATAAATCGTTCCCATATGAGGCCCGATCGAAGCAAAACTTGCTGATCACAGTGGCTTGCCCAGATCCTGCAGGCAGGAAAGACCCCAGTCAGTTGCCTTGAAATGATGGGAAGAATATGGAAAATTTGCAGATCGTTGGGGAAAACTGGGAAAAGTCATGATGCTCATCCAATGATCATTTTTGGGGGGGTACACCTTTTTCAGACAAATCCAGAAAAAAACACTGGGCAGATTTCATAAAAGAGCAGGTGACCTAAATGGGCATGCTTGGTGAAGAATGACTTGCGGGGCCTCAGGGAATGACCTCCGCCTTGGAGAGATGGGAGCTGAAAAGAATGCGGTGTTTCGGGAAAAAAAAAACTGGCTACTCTTTGGATCTGTAAAAAAATGGTTAGGCTATTTGACATATATATATATATATAGATATAGATATATAATATAATATATATATATATGTGAATATGTATATATATATACTGTATATATAGACAGTATATATAAATATCACCCCTGATTGTGAAAGAATGAAACTACTAAACATAACTTGCAAAGGCTACGTTAGCCTCCCCCGGGCCCCGGGCAGGCCCCGGGTCCAAGTATCACGTCGCCCTGCAACTTTCGACCCAACACCAGATCCTTCGTGGCCCGGTCATCCCAGTCATCACACCCAGGGTCCCAGGGTCCCACAAGGTGGTGCCCCCCCAAGTTATAAATGGCTAAACAAATCCCATGAAAACTAGTTCGATATTAATCACCGACAAAAACCAACACGTGACATTGGACTTATAAACCCACAAAAGCCGAAGAAAATCAGGCTTTCTGGTCTTCAACAGTGGGGATGGGATTAAGGTGGCGTAGTCACTAAAAAGGGTTCCACGATTGTTTTCACTGACAACATGGCAAAACATAAAAATGGAGGATCCTAACCGAACCCAACCGATCATTGGCCAATGAAAATCTAAACTCACAAACGAAAGTTCTGTCTCCCAACACCACGAGGCGTCCCAGTTCTGCCGGTGAGTTTACAGTTGCAGCTCGGTCAGCCACTCACATTTCCCGGTTGTCAAGGTGTATGGGGTTGAATTTGCAAGTCAATTTGGCCTTGATACAAGACTTGCATGCAAGACCATGATTGTTCACGTGCATGCAAGTTAGCACATGGTTCATAACAATGTCTATATTCCGAGATTTCAAGTGCAAAATATAAAAGCACCTATCCATCCAGGATGCAGATCACCCTCACACCACCTAAATTGCACATGGACCCCCAAAAAATTGCCATGTTGAAGGGCGGAGAATCATCCTCCAGACCTCATTCTTTGGGTTCAAAAAGAGTATATCGGTATAGCCAATTTCATCAACATTGGGGATGGTTTTTGGCATTGCGTTTACCATGCCTTACTCACTACAAAGATATTAAATAGATACCCTCTGGTTATTTAACAGTTTGCCATGGAAAATCACCATGCTATTAATAGGTAAACCATCTATTTCTATGGGCCATCTATACCATGGCTAGCCCTGTTAGTCATAACCAGAGGGTACATCCAGTCATGCCAAGACTCCAGCGCCAGGATTCCCACAGCCAGAAGCGCCAGCATGGCACCGAAACATGGCCATGTTTAAGCCATTGCCTCTACATGGCCCAGTTTTGTTTCTGTCTATCGGCTGAAACATGGGTTTCTAATCATTTTTTTGTGACTTAGGTAAAGCTGAAAAACAGTTGAATGCAGTCTTGAATCCATAGTTGCCATAGTTGTAAGTGGGTTCATCCTAAAACAACAACATTCGATCGTTGACATGTAAAATGCTAGGGGTTGGTCAGGCTGCCAAACGCCATCCTTCTTAAGTAAGCTCCAGTGCGACAAGCTATGCGCCACACCAGACGCTACCTTCTGCCGGAGCCTGATAGAAGCCAATGTTGGGTTTGTTTTTGTTTATACCCTCCGGTAAACTAACATAGCTATTGAAAATGGCCATTTATAGTGGATTTACCCATCAAAAATGGTTATTTTCAATAGCTATGTTAGTTTACATACGTGTTTTTTATTGCTAGGCTGATCGAAAGCAAAAAAAGCACGTGATGCACAGACCTTTTGGACCTTTTGCGAATAGACTTTTGAAGATCAAGCCAGTGTCGGGGTTGTTTTTGTGATGTCGTTATATGTCTTAATGATGCAAAACTCTGTTTAGACCGGAATTGTTTCTAATAGAAACATGTCCTTAATCAGCTGTGCACGGCTTCTGTGGCATGTACGACCGCAAGGGAAAGACCCTGGTAAATGGCATGGTGAAGGGCAACCATCTTTGCGCCAAAAGTTGTTCGCCTGCTGGTACAACAAGGCTGCCACCGGAAGTTTCAAAGGATCACACCCTTCAATGTCCAACTTTTGTGTGAAAGCAGATGGACGGATGGTCCTTGGAAACGTCAAGCCGTTGATCTTCTGGTTGTCAAAGTGATCTTGATCCTCTTGCCAATGAGGGTTGAGATCAAAGCCATATGTCCGGACTTCGTCAGTGGTGGTTTGACCTCCTGGTGAGGTCATGTGTGGAGTGCCAGCATGGCGAGGTTGGGACGATGGGATGGATGGGGTGCTCGGAGAAGCTGCTTGTGAGTCGGTGGGCAAGGCAACGTCGGTGAGCAAGGTGGAGAAGCCAAGCGAGGTGGAATTGGATATGGCAGTGTAGGTGGAGGAGATGCTGGAGGTGCTGGTGGAAATCGTGGATGGGGCTGGATACCCGTTGGAGGTTGTAAGTTGTGACTTGTCGATGGATTCATTAAATAGGCTCCCGACTGTTGCAAGTTCAACTGAGGTCGAAACTGAGGTCGTGACTGAGGTCCTGACATCCGTTGGGAATGCCAAATTGCTGCTTGCATGGGTCCGCACCATCGAGGGAAGAAAGGTAGTTCTTGTCGGACATTATATTGGGTCATTTTTCCCAATCGGAGTATGATAATCCCCAGCCTAACCAGTTGGGATTTCTAATGGATCATGTGGCATCAAAACTGGTGGGCTAAAATCACTCAACCGCGTGATCCTGGTCGATGCTTGAAGTTGTACCCTGAAACAAAAACGGTACTATTGCAACCAAGTAGGGTTAGGTGATACCGTGGATGGACATACAGTTGGAAAAAAAGTGTATCCATGTTTAACCCAACATTCAAACGGCTTCACTTGTCCCAGCTCGTGCAAGATTTTGTCCTCCAACCCCAAGACAGGCAACACCGAACCGAAACTCAGGTCTTGGGATTTCATCCTGCCTGGCTGGAACTCACCAACCATTCTGCCTGGCTAGAACACAGAACCGAATCACAATATGCTTCCACAACTGTCGCCCAGAAAACCCAGGCCTTGATGACCGCAACAGTCTGGACAGCATAGGAGTTGGGAACAAACATGCATGTTTGTTCCCAACTCCTATGCTGTCCAGACTGTTGCGGTCATCTTCCGTCGCAAAGCTGATGCCCAGGCCTGGGTCAGCGAAGCGGCCAGTTCGGCCAATGCGGTGCAGGTAGGTCTCGGAGTTCTTGGGGAAATCGAAATTGATCACCACGTTCACGCTCTGGATGTCAATCCCTCTGGTAAAAAGGTCTGAAGAGACCAAACACTTGCAACCTCCGTTCCGGAAGTCATGGAAAACACGATTCCGGTGAGACTGGTACATGCGCGAATGGATGAAGAAGCATGAGAAGCCAAGCTCTGTAATTTTCTTGGCAAGCAACTCCACGCGCGTCACGGAGTTGCAGAAAATGATTGCCTGATTAATCTGCAACTTGGCAAATAAGGTGTTGAGGCAGTGAACCTTCTGCCTCTCTTCAACAAATGCGCAACAGTGCACCACACCCTCAGCTGTAGGTGCATCCATCAAATTGATCTCATGCGCCTTGGCCATAAATCGGTTCTTGAAGTCCAAGATGGTCATCGGGAACGTGGCCGAGTACATCAGGATTTGCCTCTCTTGAGGCAAGAACTTGATGAGGTCCTCAATCAAAGGCTGGAGCTTGGGGCAGAGAAGCTTGTCAGCCTCATCCATGGCAACCATGTGGCACTCCTTCAAGTTGCACACATTCTTGTTGGCAAGGTCGAGAACACGACCTGGGGTAGCCACCACTACATGGACCTCATTGTACAAACGCATAATGTCCTCTCGAAGGCTTGTGCCGCCTGTTGAGACCATGCATTGGACATTCATGTGTTTTCCAATTTCTTTCACCACTGACGACGTCTGCAAGGCCAACTCTCTCGTAGGGACGAGGATGAGACCCTGGATTGCATTCTTGGTTGTGTTGCACTTCTCAAGGATCGGGATCACAAATGCTCCCGTCTTTCCTGTACCGTTCTTTGCTCTGGCCAAGATTGACTTGCCGGCCAGAGCCACCGGCAAGCTCTCTTCCTGAATAGGGGATGGCTTCTTATAGCCCATCTCAAAGATCCCCGTCAGCAGCTCTTGCTTCCTGGCAAAGGTTCGACATCAGATGGTCAAAAAAAAAAGTGTTCCACATACAAGACTATCAAGACTAAGCACAACTGGTTTATAGACAGGACAGAAAGGCACGTTCAAACTTGTGCAGCTGAGGAGCAGGGAGTAGTCTTCAAAGTCATTCCCTTTGGTGTTGGTCTGCTTGGGGCAGTTGCGCCTGCTGCAGGTCACTGCAGTTCCACCTGCAACATAGCATCCACCAAAAATGCGCAGTTCTCGTACAAAAAGACCGAACTGAGACAGGATGTACTTGCCCCTTGAAACCATGTCAAACTTCAATATCTCTTCCCTTGTGTAGAAGGGGCAGTACAGTGATTTGTGGTGCACGGTATCATGCAGCTATGTGTCCAGCTCTGCGTCCAGTTCTGTGCCCACGTACTTGCAGCTGAGAGACAAAGAGATGGTTTTGCAGGAGACCTCTGAGAACGACACGTTGTCTCCTGCAAAGATAATGGGCATCCGAGAGACCTTCGAGATTGAGATAGCTTGAGATTGTCTTGCAATCTTCGCGAAAAGGATCGCACATACTAGAATTAATATACATATAATCATATAATATAACCATCCGTGCCGCTGTCGTCATCATGTTTAGATCACGATCATCGAAAACGATGAAGCGATGGGTCGGAAAGATTGGGAAACCTAAGAAGTGTACTAGTGAGAAACAAATCAAAAAAGCAAAGTGTGAGACAGTGTTTAGACGTGTCACGAATCCATAATGGGGATGCATGTGAAAAACATGCGCATAATCGGAATTGTGCCCTCATACTTGGATCCATCATGGATGTGTTCCGTGAAATCATTTGGGCACAAGCCCCCCAGACCAAATTGGTGTGAGGAAAAAAGGGAGCCATGAGATCCTAGCCGCCTAGACACCTGCGTTCCATTGCGGGTGGGCTCATCACAATGAGTCATGTGCTTGATACAACGTTCAATTGTAATCAAATTCAAGATTGTAATAATCTTAAAGCCAAGTGGCAGTGCTCAAAAGCCTCTGTCATGCCTTTGTACTGGATGATGAATAGGGATTCCGCTGGTGGAATATTACTATCCCCAAGGTATAGGTTAGTATGTTCCCCCAAATAAAAATCATCAACCAACAGGGTGGATCGCATGGCAACATTTCAGGCCCTGCCTGTTGCTCATGCGGCAGCTCCAGCGTCTCGAAGGTGGTGGGGTTCACATCGATGAGGGCCTGGTTCTGCTGGTTCTTGAAGTGTTCCCCAAAGGTGTCCACTACGGTGTCCTCACTGGATGGGGGATGGCGGTTGAGGAATGAGGCTGGATGATTTTGAAGGGAAAGTGGAAAGGAATATGGATTGGATGGTGAAGTCTGGAAATTCCGAATTTTGAAGTCGTATAAACATCATAAGGGGATGTTGATAGATCAGGCTATGAAACTATTCTGGTTGGTGGTATGCCTACCCCTCTAAAAAATATGAGTTCGTCAGTTGGGATGATGAAATTCACAATATATGGAAAAATAAAAAATGCTCCAAACCACCAACCAGAATATCATAGCCAATATCATGAATATGTGGACAAAGACATTAGATATTATTTAACGAATATCTGAAATATCTGAGAATATATGAGATATCTCGTATCTTTTAAGCATCATATGATAATATTTATAGAATATATTAGATACCCTCTGGTAAACTAACATAGCTATGGAAAATCACCATGTTTAATGGGAAAACTCACTATAAATGGCCATTTTCAATAGCTATGTTAGTTTACCAGAGGGTATATGAAATGATCCAAGACATTCCACTCGCATTTTGTTCGGGGGAACTGGTCGAGAAATTTGCCACCCAAGGACGGAAAAGCCCGCGGTGACTTCACCAATTGGGCCATGGCAGAACTATGGTCATCTATCCACTGACAGTAGTAGGGTCAGATGATATATAGCATATATAGCATATAGATATGATATATATATATATGTATGATATATATATATATATGGTATATATCTACTTAATTACAGTAGTTCACAACGGAACTGCACTTCCAGGATCTTCCAAGTATGGCAACTCCCATGGAAAGTCCCAAGAAAATGCAGAACTGGAGCTACCATGAGCTACCCCTATGCCTTAGGACACCTCCAAAAAAATAAAAGCGTCGGATGGTGATTTTCCACTGACTTTTTTTTGTTTACCACAACATGTAAACCACTCGTCAATTGGCTCCTGCCAGCCCCAGTTTTCGGACTGCCAGTGAGGTTCCTGGCATCTGTGGTAATCCCCTGAAAAGATAAAACTGCTTATAGCAGACAAGTACCTTCATATCATTCAAGATGAACTCAGAATTCCACTATTCACATCTATTCACCTCGTAGTTTATCCGGTTTCATTGACTCCAGTGATTGATTTAAGGTACATGTTACTGAAAAACCCTGGTCTTGCCCAAAGAATAGGAGGTTCCACCGGTTTTACCAGAGCCCTCCACCCACTGAAACCCCACCTCCGCCACACGCATGGAGGATGTCTGGCTTAGATGAGCCGAATGCACCTAGCATTCGGATCTTACGAACGCACCTATCTTGTTTCAGGTGCTATTTGATGCTATTTGTGGATACTTTTGGTATGGTGTGGGGTGTAGTCATGTGTTTTTGTTGGTCGATAATTGTCAAGAGGTATTCAACAAGCAGTTACAGGTTGCTTGTAAGTTATCTGGTGGTTTCAACCTTGAAAAGTATTATGGGGATCATTGTTCAGGATGTCCTATTGATTCTCCATGCATTTTCTCACATACTATCGATGATCCGGCGCAGTAAGGAGCTTTTTGGGCTCAAAAATTGACGTCGTGATGCGCTTTTTGATGGAGCCGGAGAAAAATGGTCCTCCGAATGTTTTTCTCATAGAAATGATCAGAAAGGCTTTCCGATTCCGTCCATACTGAGGTTCACTTGCGAAGTGGTTCCAGAACCACCATGGACGGGTGAATCCAGAATAGTTTTTGGCGAATCATTCCCCTAATCTTCAACGCCCAATAAAAACCAGCCAGGATTGGTAGTGGATCTATGCATGTCTGAGTCTCAACAGTTGAGGGTATTTGAACTTCGTTGTTGGGGGCAGTTCTTGGTTGCTAGGGTGCTTCACTGGCTGCATGAAAAATAACGCGGAAAAACACTGAGATGATCCTGGAAAATGGCATTTTAAAAAACTATCCGATTCCATAATATGTACCCTCTGGTAAATTAACATAACTATGGAACATCACCATTTTTAATGGGTAAATCCACTATTTCTATGGTCATTTTCAATAGCTATGTTAAATTACCAGAGGGCCCAATCGACAGTGGTATTTCCTGTCAGTAGGGTTTTTTCACCCACACCATTGATCCTGCCAGGATTATCCCATCCACAGAAGCCATTGTAGCGATTGCAAAAGTGCATGGTTTTCATCAGCAAAGTTTGGTAGATTTTGGTAATCTTAGGATTGTGTCACCACTTTTAAACTGGTTGGTGGTTTCAACCAACCCCTCTGAAAAATCATGGAGTGAGCAACAGTTGGGATGATGAAATTCCCAACTGAATGTTGGGATGATGAAATTCCCAACTGAATGGAAAGTCATAATCCATTCCATGGTTCCAGTCACCACCAACCAGATTATATCCCAACCAACCATCAATAGCCATTCCATTTATAGATTTTCCCATTAAAACCTCCATTTATAAGGGATTTTCCAAATCTTCGCACCATGTGCCAAAAACCTCAACTAGCCTCTGGTAAACTACCAGTTTGCTATGGAAAATCACCGTTTTTAATGGGAAAATCAACTATTTCTATGGCCATGTTCAATATTTCTAATGGGTAAATCACAATTTTTAATGGGTAAATCACCATTTTTAATGGGTAAATCAACTATAAATGGCCATTTCAATAGCAAACTGTAACAAATTACCAGAGGGTACAGGATGGGGCCCCCCAGTGATGTTTGTTGGTTTATAACCCAATATAACCCCATTTTCACTAGTTCGTTATATCTACCATAAACCAGAGTTAATTCAGCCACTTTTTTTAGGGCAACGGTTCACGCTATCTGAAGGGGGCCCCATCCTGTAGATCCTGGTTCCCCCGTTCACCCAGCGGCACCTGGAGGTCAATGCTTCCCGGTGGATTGACACACGCATGGTGATCCACGCACTGTGGGCTGAAATCCTGGTGAGGTGCCACCATTCCAATGGGGAAATCCATGGTGATTTCCCCATGGAAAATGGATGGTTTATTTCATGGAAAAATCCTATAAATTAAGATGTTTAGAATGGAAAATCCCAATCTGAGATGGGTGAGAACTGGGGGTAGCCCTATTTTTTGTTAGGAAACCTCCATTTGAATCTGAATCTGATGGTTTCTTCTTGGCTTTTACCGCCTGACCATGTCACGTGGCGACTAGGCAACCCATGCCAACAGAGTCGAATTTCGTCTGGAGTCCAGAGTTGTTGCATGCCCAAGTGATTGTCAGACATATCATCTGGGTAAATTATAATAATTCACCAACCTGAATTGTTGGGCCATTTGGGGATGATTTCCCTTATTAACCATGATTCCAGTGAGGTCACAGTGAGGTCGTTATAATTTACCAGATATCATGTATCCTCAGTTTTGCGGGCTAACTCGGCTTTGCGTGGTGATAGCCCTTCATCTTGGTTGCTGAAATCACTGGTGTTGGCTCGTACATTCCCAACGTCTTGCTGTGTGAGTGAACTTTATCAACTGTTAAGCCCCTGGGAACACAGCAAATGTCGACCCTGTTTGGTCATTTTTTGGCTAGTTGCTAGTAGATTCAAAACTCCACGGCTCTCCAGTTTTTGGTGGGAACATGACTGACTGACTAACCATAGCTCCGCATCGCTCCCTCCTAACCCCTGGATTTTCAGCTACATAAATCGTTCCCATATGAGGCCCGATCGAAGCAAAACTTGCTGATCACAGTGGCTTGCCCAGATCCTGCAGGCAGGAAAGACCCCAGTCAGTTGCCACGCAATGATGCAAAAAATCTGAGAAAATAAAGATAGTTGGGGAAAACTACTGGGAAAAGTCATGATGCTGATCCAATGATCATTTTTTTGGGGCTACACCTTTTTCAGACAAATCCATATAAGAACTGGGCAGATTTCATAACAGAGCAGGTGACCTACCCTCTGGTAATTTAACGGTTTGCTATTGAAAATGGCCATTAATAGTCGAATTTCCCATTAAAAATGGTGGTTTTCCATAGCAAACTGGTAGTTTACCAGAGGGTAAATGGGCATGCTTGGTGAAGAATGACCTCCGCTGCCTTGGAGAGATGGGAGCTGAAAAGAATGCGGTAAAGGAAAAAAAACCTGGCTACCCTTTGGATCTGCAAAAAATGGTTAGGCTATTTGACATATATATATATAGATAGATATAGATATAGATATAGATATAGATATAGATATAGATATAGATATAGATTATATATATATACAGTATATCTATATATACATATATATATATATAGATATACTGTATATATAGACAGTATATATAAATATCACCCCTGATTGTGAAAGAATGAAACTACGAAACTAACTTGCAAAGGCGTTAGCCTCCCACGGGCCCCGGGCATCCCGGGCTGGCCCCGGGTCCAAGTATCACGTCGCCCTGCAACTTTCGACCCAACACCAGATCCTGGGGTTCGGGTCATCCGGTCATCCCAGGGTCCCAGGGTCCCAGGGTCCCACAAGGTGGTGCCCCCCCCAAGTTATAAATGGCTAAACAAATCCCGTTAGAAAACTAGTTCGATATTAATCACCGACAAAAACCAACACGTGACATTGGACTTATAAACCCACAAAAGCCGAAGAAAATCAGGCTTTCTGGTCTTCAACAGTGGGGATGGGATTAAGGTGGCGTAGTCACTAAAAAGGGTTCCACGATTGTTTTCACTGACAACATGGCAAAACATAAAAATGGAGGATCCTAACCGAACCCAACCGATCATTGGCCAATGAAAATCTAAACTCACAAACGAAAGACCTGTCTCCCAACACCACGAGGCGTCCCAGTTCTGCCGGTGAGTTTACAGTTGCAGCTCGGTCAGCCACTCGCGTTTCCCGGTTGTCAAGGTGTATGGGGTTGAATTTGCAAGTCAATTTGGCCTTGATACAAGACTTGCATGCAAGACCATGATTGTTCACGTGCATGCAAGTTAGCACATGGTTCATAACAATGTCTATATTCCGAGATTTCAAATGCAAAATATAAAAGCACCTATCCATCCAGGATGCAGATCACCCCTCCACCACCTAAATTGCACATGGACCCCAAAAAAATTGCCATGTTGAAGGGCGGAGAATCATCCTCCAGACCTCATTCTTTGGGTTCAAAAAGAGTATATCGGTATATCCAATTTCATCAACATTGGGGATGGTTTTTGGCATTGCGTTTACCATGCCTTACTCACTACAAAGATATTAAATAGATACCCTCTGGTTATTTAACATAGCCATGGAAAATCACCATGCTATTAATAGGTAAACCATCTATTTCTATGGGCCATCTATACCATGGCAAACTGTTAGTCATAACCAGGTTGGGTACATCCAGTCACGCCCCGCGCCATGCCAAGACTCCAGCGCCAGGATTCCCACAGCCACTGCCAGCATGGCACCGAAACATGGCCATGTCTAAGCCATTGCCTCTACATGGCCCAGTTTTGTTTCTGTCTTCTATCGGCTGAAACATGGCTTTCTAATCCTGTTTTTGTGACTTAGGTGAGGCTGAAAAACAGTTGAATGCAGTCTTGAATCCATAGTTGCCATAGTTCTAAGTGGGTTCATCCTAAAACAACAACATTCGATCGTTGACATGTAAAATGGTAGGGGTTGGTCAGGCTGCCAAACGCCATCCTTCTCACACAAAAAGAGCTGTGAAGTAAAGCTCCAGTGCGACAAGCTATGCGCCACACCAGACGCTACCTTCTGCCGGAGCCTGAAAGAAGCCAATGTTGGGTGTGTTTTTGTTTATACCCTCCGGTAAACTAACATAGCTATTGAAAATGGCCATTTATAGTGGATTTACCCATCAAAAATTGTTATTTTCAATAGCTATGTTAGTCTACATACGTGTTTTTTATTGCTAGGCTGATCGAAAGCTCCAAAAAGCACGTGATGCACAGACCTTTTGGACGACTTTTGAAGATCAAGCCAGTGTCGGGGTTGTTTTTGTGATGTCGTTATATGTCTTAATGATGCAAAACTCTGTTTAGACCGGAATTGTTTCTAATAGAAACAAGTCCTTAATCAGCTGTGCACGGCTTCTGTGGCATGTACGACCGCAAGGGAAAGACCCTGGTAAATGGCATGGTGAAGGGCAACCATCTTTGCACCTGATATCCAAAAGATATCCACGGTCGGTGAATTACAAGAACTCATCCAGATTGATGTTTTGATTCATGGCTATACCTTTTCTCCCAGCGGATTCCAAGCGTATTTTTGGATTTACTTGCATTTAGAGATTTGTAAGCGGACATGGTGACTTCACCAACAGCACCGGGCAGTAAGACCAATGGAACCTGAAAGGAAAGCATTTTTGGGGTGGTCCCGACCCCCCAAAGCTCGTCATTTACAGTGACAACCAGCGGCATGGGGAATGGGTCTTTTTACCAGCGAAACCAACAAATCAGCATGAGGCTGTCGACTAAAGATTGCCAACAATCACCCGTGTTGCCAACGAAAAAATGCTACAGTCCATGGTTCATGAGGGTGATAACAACACATAATAACCGGTAATAACCCCAACTTCAACACCCAGTGATCAATCTCCTTGTCTTCCCAGCATTGCCCTAATCTGGTTCCTTGCGCTTCTTTTGTTCGACGGGTTGCTTCTTCTTTTCACAGATCAGCTGTGTGGATCTGCGTGGTGCTTCCAATCTATCCCAATCTATCCCAATCTATCGGGACGGACATACCACCAATTTCTTTAGGATCGCCTTGTCTTCGAATGTAAAAACATCGGCAGTTTCTTCTCGAAGCCTCTATCAGGACAGACACACCCGTGACCTTGGCACCACGTAGATTTCCCCACGTCGGACTTGGGCGGTTTTTGTTGGGAAAACCAAGTTCGATACCTTTCCAAAAAACCGTGGGAAAGAAGGGGGGTCCAAATTTTGAGACAACCCCATATAGCTGGTAGTTGAAAATGTCTGGGACCGCAGATCACAAATACTATGGAGTCTAGGCAAGATTTTTCTGAATACAGTTCTCATTTCAGGCGCTGGAGATTGATTCTTGCAGGGAAAAACATGCTCCCGGAATTTTAGGCACATAACAGCCGCCAGTTCATAGTTGTCTCTTAGTGGTGTTCGCTTTCATCAACAAAAATGAGGCCTCGAGAATCTGCTATGAATCAAAACAGCTGGTATGTACACTGGTCATCAGCAAAATACCTGGTACATGATTTACATGATATATGTTTTGACAACCCATTTTTTGGGCTTCACCAAAGTCTCTTAGCAAGTTGGTCTGGGAAGCAGCATGGCTCCTCTTGCTGACACCGATCCTTCCCCTAGCACCGTTCCAGCCTCGGAATGTGCGCCATCAAGCTCCCTGAGTCCATCGTCGCAGCCTTCCTGAGCTGCGGCGGTGGCATTGACCCAAACTGATACACCTAGACGTGTTGCCGTCATCCAATGACAAAGAAGTATCTATATATATATAACTATTGCTTGCACGGTTCGGTGCACAAAATTCACTGTTGTCTCGGGAGATAACTGGGATAACGCAATAGCAATCTGTCAATCTAGACCAATTCCATCCAATTCCAACACTTTTTGGGCAACCTTAATGGTTGATCCCTTTTTGGGCACGTTCCCTTGTGAACCAAGGAACTCATCGTGATGTGAACCCTGAAATTTCTTGTCATAGCTAGGAGACCATTCGGCAACGAGATGAAGGAACTGCGCAATCATCTCGTACCAAGCAGTCAACCAGGGAAATCAGTGAGAACATTCAGTCCACCCACAACAAGTTGTCATAGTTTTTTAAGTGTAGTAATAACATTAGTAATAACTCTATACTATATACTCGACCAAAAAGGAGTTGTTAACCCAACTTTTTCGAGTTCCATCAACCACCAGACCGGACCAGTCCCAAAGGCGCCTTGATGCCATATGGACTCCATGGACAGCAGACACTGGTGCGACCAGGACTGGTGGCTAGACTTCCTCCAAGATCTTCTTCAACAGATCATCCTGACGCACAAAAAAAAAAATGCTGAAGTGAACTAACCGCAGAAATATGGAGGAGTTGATATGTTTTGCTTCAAACTAGGGATTTTTGTTTGGCAACGAAAACTGAGAAGTTCACATGATCTCACCATGAGAATTGTCATAAATCAGCTTTATGTCAAATACTCCCCCAAATTTGCTTAGGAAGAAGCCTATTCCACCACGGATACACCAACAACCCAGAAATTACACTGTTACCCTCTGGTAAACTAACAGTTTGCTCTGGAAAGATCCACCATATTTAATGGGAAAATCAACTATTTCGACTGGGCCATGTTCAATAGCTATGTTAACAAATTACCAGAGGGTAAATCCCATTACATCCCATGGAAAATCACCATAAATTGCCATAAATCACCATTAAAATCCAATAAAATCCATTATTACCAGAGGGTAGTGAGTCACCACTGAATTTGCTGGCAACCCTGCCATTCACCACGGCTTATCCACGGCTTACACGGTAACCTCATCTTCTGGCAGCTGCTCTGGGTCTTCGAGGCTATCCACAATGCTGAAGCTGTCCAAAAACTCTTCCTCGGCCATACCATTGGATTGGTTTAAGGTGGTTTTTTTTACGGGGAAACCCCTATATGTCCATTGTTTAATAGTAAAAACCATGGTTTTCAATGGTATTTTGATTGTAAAAACCATGGTTTTTACAGGAAATACCATAGTTGATCGTAAAAACCATGGTTTCCTGTAGATGTTCCCAAATTGATATCTTTAATCGAGGCAGAGAACTGAAGTTGGCAGTCACAAGGGATCCGACCTCCGAATGTGGTGGACTTGAGCAACAAACATGTCAATGGGAATTCCAGGATCCTAAGATGGAGGTACGTTAGTACCATTTTTTTGGCCATATTTGGGGGGTATATCCCCTGAAATTAAGCCCTAAAAAATTAGCCTTATATATGGTAGGTACCTCCAATTTAGGTTCCTGAAATGGCCATTGAACATGGGAGATAGAACCAATAAGATATGGGAAGAAATGTGGATATGAAAAAATAAGATATAGGAAACTTAACATGGTCAATCTTATTCGAAAAAACTGGGGATATGACAAGCAACAAAAAGATTAAGTTTCACCAATAAGAAAAATGTGGACCTCCCAAAAAAAAGAAAGCTGGCCCAACTACATGCCAAATTTCAAAATCCTGCAGTTAAAAGATGAGTTTCTGGAGGCTTCCGAGGGAGGTACCTCCAAATCATCCATACATATATATATATACATATATATATATACATATATGTGTATGTATATACATATATATATATATACATATATATATACCGAACCACATCAATCATGTCCTAATTGAACCATTCTTCAGGATGAGGTCGACAATGAGGTGCTTCAAATTTGAAAGGTGGGCACCCCTGGCAATGCTCGTCATCCCACCAACAGTGGGTAGTACCAACAAACATGAGGATTTGAGCTACAAAAATGCGGATAAACTCCAAAAATATGTCTTATTGATGAATACAGATATATGATCTATCCAAAATATTATATATATATGTATGCGTACACACATTATATAGATCTATTCATAGTGCCTATCTGTACACATCTAGAAACTGGGGAGAGAACTTGCAGTCTGCACGGCCCCTGAAAAAGCTGAGGCTCAAAATCAAGATGCGCCTCATCCTGCCCGAAATTGCGATGAAAAAAAACGTAAAAATGATGATTGACCAGTGGGTCACTGGATCGATGAAAGGGAAAATCTACAGGAAACCATGGTTTTACCATCAAATATATGGCTTTCCTGTAATTTGTGACCTTAAAATGCCATTAAACCAATCCAATGGGTGGAAATTGGGGGGGATTGATGGTTGGACACAGACCCAAAATGGGGATTTCAGCAGTGAAAGTTGGAAGGAAACATGTGGGTTTTGGTGGGCAAAAAGTGATGTTTCTCAGCAAATAATGGGGGCTAGCCACTCTGCAACCGACAAAAAGCTGAAGGGTGAACCACAAAACAAATCGGTTTCGGTACCGAAAGCGATGGTGAGTCAAGCAACATAAGGTGTGGTACCCCGTAGGCCCCAAACTTGCGCATGCTTAGGGCTGAAAGATCAACGAGCTGAGATGGCAAGTAATGGACAGTTCAGACGAAAATGTTCTCCGTCCCCATAAATGAAGAGTGCTGTACTCTCCAAATCACTAGTTTCTTGTGGAAAATGAAAATCAAGTGAAATTACTCTAGGGCCTAGGGGCACCCTACTTCTGGACACACTAAGAAGATTCCTCAATCACAGCCAAGAATTTTTGACCCATCGACCTTTTCGTGGCTCTAGCCAAGCCAACAAAGTCTCAGAATTACCCTCTGCTAAACGTTTACAGTTTGCTATGGAAAATCACCATTCTTAATAGGTAAATCAAATATTTCTATGGTCCATGGCTTCCATGTCGCGACAAAAACTGTAACAAATTACAGCTGTCGGCTATCCCAAGTTGTGGGAATTCTCAACGGAGCTTGTCTTGAAAGACGACTGGAAGCGCAACCAACCAGCCATACAATGGCCGTATACCCGGGCATCCCAATGGACTGGTTGCGAAATCCTGCACCAGTTGGTAGATGCTTCATCCCATTCAAAAAAAACACCTGTTATCCCACCTGAAATCTCCCATTATTTATTAGTTACAAAATGATCAGTGTTAATCATAATCCCATTTATCATGGAATTATAATCCCATTTAATTAGAATGGTATAATTAGTTGTTTCATAGTTACCCTCTGGTAAACTAACATAGCTATTGAAAATGGCCCTTTATAGTGAAATTTCCCACGAAAAATGATGATTTTCCATAGTTACGTAAACGTTCACCAGAGGGTAAATCCTATTAAATTCCATTAGATCCCATTAAACCACCATAAAACCCCATGAATAATCCATTTTCCCAAGTGATTTTACCAACCCCGGCCTCGCCCTCCCCCAGCTGCACATCAATGCTGTCCACCTCAGGCGGATCGACGGATCCGTCCGTGAATGCCATGGGACTTGATGGGACTGATGACCGAAGTCGGTAAAGATGGTATTCCTTTGGGATATTTGTAACCATATTTCAATGGGAGATCTCCAGGATCCTAAAATGGAGGTACGTTCGTATATTTTTGGCCATATTTTGGGGGGATATCCCCTGAAATTAAGCCCTTATATAGACCTTAGATATGGTAGGTACCTCCATTTTAGGATCCTGAAATTCCCATTGAATATTGGTAATACCTTCTGGTAATGACTAACATAGCTATTGTTTCAATGGCCCATAGAAATAGATGTGTAACCCATCTAATGGAGGTAATAATGGATGTTAATGGATTTTAATGGTGATTTACAGTATGGTAATTTATGGTGATTTTCCATGGGATGTAATGGGATTTACCCTCTGGTAATTTGTTAACATAGCTATTGAAAATAGCACATAGAAATAGATGGTTTACCTCTTGAAAATCGTAATTTTCCATAGTTATGTTAGTTTACCAGAGGGTACTATTTTCATACAAATGAGCTGTGGTCTTTAGTTGTGGTACATTTGTAGCCAATGATTATCATGATAAACCAGTATACAGATTATGATACAAATGATATCTTTGATCTTTGGTCTTTGGTTGTAGCCAAAGTAATACCATGATCATCCAAATATCAGCTATAGCTAAGGCTATATATATATACATATATATATATATGTATATATATATATGTGTGTGGGTATATATATATATATGAGTATATATATATATGGGTATATATATATATATGGGTATATATATATATATGGGTATATATATATATATATGGGTATATATACATATATGGGTATATATATATATATGTATGGGTATATATATATATATGGGTATATCTTCCGAACCTGACCATATATCATCCAAGTATGCTCAAAGTATACTCATGTCTTGTCGGTGAATATCCCCATTCTTGACTGACAAAGTGCGGTTTATGTCCTATATCCGAAAAATCCACATCAAGATATTTGGATCCCCATATGATCCAAACATCAAGGAATCATTCGGCCTCAAACTGTGCAGCCCAAAACATGTGAAGAAAACCACAGTACTGGGCAAATGTTACTGTAGTAAACTGCAGGTTTATGAATCTTGGCTTAACATTACCCTCTGGTAATTTGTTACGTAGCTATTGGAAATGGCCATAGAAATAGTTGATTTACCCATGAAAAATGGTGGTTTTCCATAGCTATGTTAGTTTACCAGAGGGTAATCATTGAACTCAATTATAGATGGTCAATCCCAATTGTCAATACTAATCACTCATCTATATCATTTTCTCAATTCTCTCAATTCATATGCAGTGGCGAGCGCTGAATTGTCTATCAATTGGTGGACAACCCCCAAAACTGCTAATTCTATCAATCGGATATCTGTGGATAATTCTTGCTGGATTAGTACAGAGCATCGAAGAATCCCACTAAAAATTCCACCAAATATCCCATACTCCCACGAAACCAGCATATTACCAGGTCATATAGTTCTTGGGTGGGTTGGTTGGAGAACCATTGTCATCACTAAATTTGCTTACCATTGTACATAGACAATGTCAAGCCTGGATTAATAAACCCCAAACGGCTATTTAATTGGGAAGGTACCATTATCCATTTAAGTATCAAATAATGACTATTGGGGGAATACCATGGAATACCCCTCTAATTAATAAACCATGGTGACTAGTCTCATCCGGGGTTGACAAAAAACACATATTCTCATCATGCTTCCATGAAGTTCCCGCTACATTCCCACCCATGATCTTCTCATGAAACATCCCATGAAATCCCTACAAGGTGGTGCCCCCCCAAGTTATAAATGGCTAAACAAATCCCCTTATATAACTAGTTCGATATTAATCACCAACAAAAACCATAGCCATAGTGACATTGGACTTATATATTTGCACCAACCAACCAATCGCGATTCCGAACTGGGGCACCACCTTGTATAAAATCACTGGTGAACCACCCAAAGATCCAAAGCCGCATCATCCGCATCATCCCACCGAATTAGTCAAAATTGTGCTGCTTAGATCTGGTAAACGTAACTGGGCGAGCTTCAGCCATTCATAAATGAAAAATAAGCGATGTATCAACAATACGGCCTTACCGATCAATGGGTTATGAATTTTCTACGATTCGTGCGATGATCCTCCTTGGCCGATTTCGTGATTTGTATTAGTGGCCGTGGCCGTTTTTGCGCACTGAAAAGGACCGTGGATCATGTGTGATCCATGGAAAGTCATACCGAGGATGTGATACCAAAAATGTGAGATTACAATTTGATGATAGATAGCAAAAATATGCTTTTTAATGTGATACCAAAAACCATGGGAATAGATCTATCAAACATACCATGGATAGATACCAAGGATCTATCGTTTGATCTACCCTCTGGTAATTTAAGATAGCTATTGAAAATGGTGATTTATAGTGGATTTTCCCAGCTAGAAAATGGTGGATCTTTCCATAGCAACCTGTTAGTTTACCAGAGGGTAAATCCTATTAAACCTCATTAGATCCCATTAAACCACCATTAAATCACCATAAAAACCCATTAAACCACCATAAAAACGCCATTAGATCCCATTAAACCACCATAAAACACTCATTATATGTGGATTTTCCCATTGAAAATGGTGATTTTCCATAGTTTTTTGTATGTTTACCAGAGGTTTGATCGATATCAAGGCGCCAAACAGCTCAGCTGCTCCTCGCTCAACGTCGCCGTTCCCGTGGAGCGGAAGCTGGCGTCGCTGGCGTCGTTCAGCGAGACCAGAGCGCGCCTGGGGTGCGGTGAAATGTCGTCGGAGAAAATCGTCGGGTGATCAATCACAGGTTCATGGTGTATCAATCTATGAATTATATTAATTAATAGTTTTTCAATCTATTTTTGGATCAAAAATCAATGTATATATTATGGTGTAACACTTTTCTATCAATCTATCAATATATGTATATATATAGTGTTCCAAAAGAAGATAGAAAAAAACTTTTCTATCTATTTTTGGATCGTGTGATTATAGATGTTATACATTTATGTGATATGTGATTGTATATATATATATACGTATATGTGTGTGTATGACATGTCTAGATATGTTTATTATATATGTATCTGTATAATTGTTTACAAATACCCATCCAGTTCTGCAGTTCTGAATGTGTGTATAAGTACTACCCTCTGGTTATTTAACATAGCCATGGAAAATCACCATTTTTAATAGGTAAACCATCTATAAATGGGCTATTTTCCATGGCTATGTTAAATAACCAAAGGGTGGTATGTATGCATGATAATTTATGTATGTATATCCGACGCAGACATACATGAGTTGGCCTAGTCTTTTCAAGCAACTTTTAAGCTCACTTGGACGTGCATCCAAATTAATAATCAGGTCGTAACAACGGTATGTTGCTTTCCAGTCAAAATCGGATGCAACCTCAATTTTGGGAGCGCCTTGATGGGCGTCCAAGAATCAGAAAACCAACTGATTCAACCATCAAACAGGGGCATCAGCGTTTGGGTCATTTGGGTCATGGTAGACTTCGGGGACTGCGGTAGTGTACAATGACTCTTGGAACTATCAGTACATCCGTGCTGTCTTCATGCGTTTTTCATGACGAAATTTTGTCAAAATGCCATCATAAATGGTTCATCATGACCTGCACTGCTGTCATGTTACCCTTCTTACATCAATTGCAAGTCTCGTACAGCCTTGCACATATCATTGATCGACGTAATTTTCCTCGCCAAAAAAAACGATTGGACATGACAGGGATGCCAACATGAGTTTACTCTCCGTACCATAGAATTGTTGTCCATACTATTAGAATATGTGTATGTATATATACAGACAAGTATAATTATCCAGTAGTTGATTGTCAATGACCATGCTGAGGTTCCCAGTTCTACATGGACCCCTGGTCATGCGTGTCAAGCCTTTGCCACTTGTTGTATAAGCTTGATGTAAGGCCAGCTAATGTGTGTATCTTCAATTGATTCCTTGGTTGAGTACGGTCGACTTCTCACCAGGGGACTACCACTGCCATGCGCTTGGATTATCCCAGGTCCGAGGGGGTACTAAAATGGGGGTACCCCATTTATACACCATTGAAATGATGGATTTTCCAATAAACCATGCAGCGAGCTTGGGATATCTCGGGATACCCTGTAGGAAACCTCGAGGGCGTGGCTTATCCTGCCTGAACTCAGACCGACTGCAACGCCGACCGGGACACAGCTTCCGCAAGAGGCTGCGCAAAGGCCTTCCGCGGCACAAGGGGCCCGAATATGTCAATGATCCATACCCTCAAGCAAGCGCACCAGCCCAGCTAGTCATGAGTTTATCATGTTTAAATTTATATATAATATAATATAATATAATATAATATAATATGATATGATATGATATGATATTGTATAATAGAATACAATACAATACAATACAATATAATATAAGATAAGATAATATAAGATAATATAATATAATATTAATATATATATATACGAATGAAGGCTGGCAACAGTCATCAGCTACAACCAAAGTTGCACTGCCTACAACTAAACCTCATCCCTTACATAGACTCTGTTTCAAGCGGAAATTTCACAAGAAAACTCACGGCAAGAAAAATGGGTTTGTCTGAAACTTTGGTACCCCAAGACCATCAATTTCCCTACAATGTGAGGCCCCCAAGATAGCTAAGTTGGTTTATAAACCATTTTAATCCCCAGTAACTATAGTTATATCTACCATAAAGCATTGTTAAGCCACTTATAAACCAACTTAGCTATCTTGGGGGCCCCATCCTGTACCAAACATGACCAATTCTTGCTCATTTTTTGGGGTCAGGAGACCACCAGGTGTCTGTTTCCTGTAGATTTCACCAATCCAATGACCCCTGGCCGCCTTGCAAACTCGAAGTGCAGGACCCGATGAACCGCTTCAAGGGAATCCTCTCTGTCGAATGAATTTCGCAAGGCCATGGTCCAATAGGCCCATGAAAACCGCCAAAATCTGTGTCTGTGGGCACTTTTTCTCCGAATGCTTTAGCTGTGATAGGGAGAATCAAAAACAGCGAAAGTTGGCAGCTATCCTCTGGTAAACATACAACATAACTATGGAAAGATCCACCATTTTCAATGGGTAAATCCTCTATTTCTATGGCCATTTTCAATAGCTACGTTAAATTACCAGAGGGTAAAGTTGGCAGCTATCAGCTGCTGTGAAACCTTGGGCGACACCCTTGAACCTGCAACCCCTGCACTCTCCGGCCTCCAGCAAGGCTTGGGCGCCATGCCCCGCTCGAACGTACAAGGCTCGCAAGAGTTCCGGGTAGTTAATGCGATCGTCACCTGCAGGATGGGGCCCCCTAGTTGTAAGTTGGTTTATAACCCCATTTAAATATAGTTATAAGTATCATACACTATTGATCACTATTGTTATTATAGTTATAAACCAACTTAGCTAACGAACTGGGGCCCCATCCTCTCATCAAAAAGGCTGGAAAGTTCCCGAACGTCCCAGACTAAATGGAGGTAGCTGGGATGGCTTCATCGATTCAAATGGGGGATGTTCCAGCACGCCATGTTTTTTTGCACACCGGAGAGTGAGTTTTTACCCACTAAAAGCAGGTGGATTGCTGCAGGAAATCCACAGCAGCTATCGTGCATCATAAATCTGGGTAAATTAGAATATTTCACTGACCTGAATAGTTCGGCCACCAACTTCTTGCGGTCCCTGCCCACCCCCCGCTGACGCCAAGGATCTGAATAGTTCGGCCATTTGGGGATCATTTCCCTCACTAACTATGATTATAGGGAGAACAGTGAGGTCGTGATGAAATTTACCCAGATGGATGTGTCCAAGAATGCATTGGACATAGGGGATTTAGATTAAGAAATCATGGGGAATACAACTGATGTAACTGATACTGCAACTACAAAAGAATCACCGACTACGTGACTACGTCTATACACCCTTTTTAGTTGGTTCTCCAAATTCTTGAAAATTCCCAACTATCTCGCAGTTATTTCCAAATTTGCTCCCAATCACGATTATCTTGATGATCTTCATAATACATCTCCCAACTATCTCTCATCCCAAGAAATTCTGATCTTCATAGTAAATCTCCCATCTCCCAATTGATCTGCCAAAATGATCTCCCAAGTATTGCTTTATATCTTCCAGTGTATCTCACAAATTATCTCCCAATCATCTCCAACCAAAATCCAATTTTTGGCAGTTCACAAATATATATATATATATACAGATATAGATATAGATATAGATATATACATAGACATAGATATAGATATGCTGTGACTTTCCATTTATAGCACCCAAAACTCAAGGACTCCACTACCTCCAAACTCTCCCCATATTTTTCCCAGAAAAAGCGCAACGTCCCGTGCAACGTCCCTCAACGGGTCACCGTTGAGATCCACAAATCGCCGGAGCTGCGCCATCTCCTCCTCCGTCCGCGCGCGACAGGAGGGCAACTGCCGCAGGGCTGCAGTGAACTCATGGGGCTCCAAATAGCCTCGCTGCGGCGCGGAAACGGCCCGAATTTTTTGGATGAAAAAAAGGAGGGTTTGATGGGAAATCAATGACTTATGGGATGTAAATGAGATGTAAATGGGGTGTGTGTATGTATATATATATATATACACACATATATATATAATATACATATATATATATACACATATAATATACATATATATATATACACATATAATCTAAGAAGAATCTGGGGAAATGGATGGTTTATAAGATATTTTCATGAGATATAAATCCGGGAAAATCCAAGAAATCATGGGAAATTGGCTACTGGGGAAATGGGTGGTGTAATATTCGCTGTAGCTTGCTCACCGCAAATGGGGATGAACGAGGATATCATGGTATCATCAGGTGGAGGTTCTGATCTCCGCTGTTCTTCTATATGGCTTTGTCTGAAAATAGTGCACCACCAAAGTTCAGAGTCGATCATCTCATTTCCAATTAAAGTGCTATTTGGGTGGTACCCGATTTTCAGACACACCCATATATTTCTGTTAACTTGATGGAGGGGTAATTGCTTTGTAAATGGTTGTATCCTCGTACAATTAAGTATATCATGTGGTAAACCCAGTTCCAGACACGACTACGATTTGGGGATGATGTCAAGTACTACGATTTGGGGATATGGACCAAAAGTATGTATTTTCTTGGCCATTCCTTTTTGGCATTGGCCATTTTCTTGCTAAAAAATAGTTATTTTTGGTGAAAAAATTGGAAGAATGGTGGCTTATCCAAGATCTGGAAGAATGGATAGGAACTCGCCATAAAAACACTTGATACACTTGATAACTTGGGAGCAATGGTCTGAAAACTGGGGACATGGGATCTAGTGTGGATATCACAAAATACAATGGGATGTATAACCAACAGTGTGATTTGGCTTGTCCAAGAATGTCATGGACATTGGTGACATGGGGGGTTTAACATCAACACATAATAATTGGGCATATGTAACTCATATAACCCACAAAATTGAAAATAACCAACCAAATAACCAACCCATGCGGGGTTCCCCTAAGTATTCAGGCAAAGCACTCTTTTTTCTAGAGCATTTCGTTCGATGCTTTCATGAAAAAAAACTCCATTTCTATTTCGGATTTCCCGGAAAAAGCCATGCCATGGTAACTCTGGTGGCTAACTCCGCTAACCACGGCATGGAAATCGTGGGGGCGTCGTGGGGGCGTCCGTTTGTGGGGATCAGATCTGTTTACACTCAGATCTGAAGAAGAAATTCACCGACAGCTGCAGAGGGCCCTCAATATGTCCACATATAACCCATGATTCACCGCATATTTCAGGATACTTCAAAATCCAGGGATTTTTCGGATCTCACAAGTTGTCAAGTTGTCAAGTTCTGGTTCCTGCGGTAAGCAGGCCCTAAAACAAATAAAACCAAGGAGCCAAATGGTTTCAACCATGGTGAACCATCATGAAACTCTTCTGCTTCTGAACCCATAGCTAGCCACCATGAAAATGTTCCATGAATATGTTCCTATATGTTCCGTATCCCATAGAAATACCATACATATGTTCCACATATGTTCAAAATGGAACTGTGGTTTTTAACGTATTTTAACATCCAGTGGCCGTTCTTGTTCACATCAGCCTCCTCAAAGAACTGACGGATCCTTCGTCGCAGTGCTGACCCAAAAAAAACAGGTGGCCTAGGGGTCGAATTTCCCATGGTTAATGTATGTTTGATATCTGCTGAAAATATGCTTGATATGCACAAATAAGTTGCTCTTTATATATATACATGAAATATGGTTGATACCTGTTTAATATGTGTATATATATATACACATACATATACACAGTTGATATGTGGCTAATGCAAGCTACTACATGGTTAAGAAATGATTGATATGTTGCCAATATATGGTCTCCACTTATATACAGTCGATCCCACACCCCACCCATGATATGGGCGTGCAAACAACCGATATTAGGGGATCTATGATATATATATAATTATATATATAACCCACTAGTACAAAAGGGTTGATCATATACCAGATCAAAGTGCTCATGATCCGATTCCCGGATCCCATTCCCAACAGATCATTCTCTGATGATTTATGGGTTGGTAATTCTCCCCCGAGGCCCTCAACCAAACAAAAATTGGAAACATTCACCAAAAATGTGGACTGCTAACATGTCATATACCAAATATAAATAGATGGTCCGATCCCCCTCAGATGGGACACAAACAGATTGCCATTTGGAGTGGTCCACTATTCCCATGAAACCAGTCAGCCTAACCCCGTACTAGTCATCAATCAATCATCATATGTCATGTCACTTAGGCCTTGTATCCTTAGTCTTGAAAGTCAATCCCCGAATTTTTCTCCGTTTGTTGCTTCAGATCTCACCAACGATTAGAACTAGCAACCACTAAAAACGATTATGAATTATGACAATCTCGTTTTCAAACCATTCAAACCAGCTAGATTCTAAGCATCAACCATTCCTTGCGGGTTGCATCCCAGTTGAATCTAACGCGCTGTCGGCCAGTGAAGTCTAGCCACCCCAAATGATATCTGAAGGTCTGGAATCGGTGCCAATCTTGGAAGATACCAAAGAAAATGATTACCTGCTTCAGACATATTCCCATGAAGATTGGAAAAAAAAGTATCAAAGTACCCTTCACTAGTTGCTTTACCCATCTTCCATTGTTCACTCCCAATATTTCTTTTGGTTTACCTTGCTCTGGCCATAAATTGGACGGCAAATCTCATGAAAAAAAAACCATGAAGAATGCTGCGTGTACCCCCAAAAGTCGGTGATGATTTGGAGCCTGAAATCCGCCATTTGAGATATTTGAGTCATGGTAAGCCCCGAAAAGAATCCAAGAGATTAGGAATTTTCACCATATTCTTATTGGGGGGTTACCATGACTCAAATACCATGGCGAAAAACGTTTGATTCTTGGGTTTCTTGGTATTTTACCACAATTCGAATACCATGTTTTTTACCCAACGTTTGCAGAAAGATCCCCATGACCGTCGAACCAAGCCTCAACCCCCCAGGCTGTTCCCAGCCTCATTGCTGGGCTGTTGAATTCCCCCAGGATGTCACGACAAATGTCCTTGGCAGCTGAGCTGAAACTGAGGAAAATGACCAAGAAAGGCAGATCATCGTATCTGTAGTAATTGTATGTTTTTGTATGTTTTTGGTTATCGTATATAATATATATATATAAGTAGTCTGATAGTATCTTGTGTTAATGTCTACAGCATCTCTGTTGTATCTATAGGTCAGGTAGTCTGTTAGTATCTTGTGTTAATGTCTACAGCATCTCTGTTGTATCTATAGGTCAGCTTTTCGTAGAGTTCAGTTGTGGTGTTTTTTGTGTTTTTTTGAGGGGGAAACACGGGAAACACGGGAAACAGGTCGCCACTGGTTTTTCCAATGGGGGAACCACATCCCAACTGGGCACCATCCCTTTCCTTGAAGGGCAACCGCTTGAGTGAAAAATTCTGTCACTTACCCTCTGGTAAACTAACAAAAAGCTATTGAAAATGGCCCAGTCGAAATAGTGGATTTACCTATTAATATACGAGGTGATTTTCCAGTTCATTATGTAAACAAGTTTACCAGGCCGGGTATCTAAGCAGATTTGAATCACCCCAGTCTTTTTTGGAAAGTTTTCTATGCTGATCCAGGGGAATCGATCTTACATGGGGCCACCCAGTGATGTGAACGTTGGTCTATAAACCAATTAATAACCTCCATTAACTAGTTCGTTATATCAGTTATATCTACCATAAACCAGAGTTAATTCTAAGCCACTTATAAGTTTTTTAGGCAACTGAACGCTATCTGAACGGGGGCCCCATCCTGTAAAATGATAAGATTCATGGAATTTAAGAGCAAAAATTGCAAGATTGGCAAACCTGGTCCTTGGAAATTGCAGCTATACAACTGTAGTTCGCTAGCTCGTTGGCTCGGCCATGTCGAGGACTGGGACTGGTCAATCCCACTTGCTCCAAGTGTCTTCATCACAGATCTGCGATGAAAATCAAACAAACCGGCTGAATATCTAAACTGGGAAGGCCCACTTTGGGGTAGTTTCCCACAAACCATCATATATCAGGATAAGCTAACAATAATTCACTAACCTAAAAACCTTCGGTCATTTGGGGATAGCTACCCATCACCCGTCGAGCATCATCCAGCAGCTGCGGAACAAAGTCCGTCGCGGGCGTCGTGGCACGGGGCTGGGTGAGAGCGAAGTGCAACGAGAGAGTGCCCAGAAAGTCTTCCACGCGGATGTTGCCACCTGTAATCTGATCGAATGGCAGACATAAACCACAGAAATATGGAACCGCTAAAAAGATATCATCAAAAAAACCATGGGGATAGAACGGGATGTGGCGTCCACCGTTTTCAACCCCCTGGTCATCAAAGGTGGCAGTTGGAAATTCACTATGTATAATATATGATGCAGCCTCCCAGGTCCCCCCCCCCGGCCCCGGGAGCCCCATGGCGTCGCCTTGCTCCGCCGCGGTGCGATACAATGCCAGCGCCTGCGAAGGCAGCACCGCTCCACCATTCGCCACGACTTTTCGCAGCGCCTGCACGAACTCGCGGGCGCTCACGCGGCCGTCGCCGTCCCTTGGCCGTGGTGGTGTAGATCTTTCAATAATTGAAAATCTATATCTATATATATATAATGATAATAATGGGAAACTATAATAATAATAATGATAATAATCTATATCTATTAATAATAATAATGATAATGATGATAATAATAATAATGGGAAACTATTTATGAATATGCAATATAATAATAGATATAGATAACTATAGATAACTATCTATGCATTGTGATCTTGAAAGACGAATCATAATGGGAAAATCATAATGGCTATATAGTAAAAAATAGTTTGCCCTTAAGCCGTCTTACCCATTGATAGGTTTTGGTGAGTTAAAAAACAAAAAGGAACCATGATGGCTAATAACCATAGGGGTAATCACTATCAGGATGGTAGCATGGTTCATGGTTATTTACCATGGCAAACATAATGTGGCTTACAAGAGCTGCGATGAAGCCATGCTACCCATGATGGTTGATAGGTTATGGTAACCATAGTGGGTAATATGATTTAATTACCTGGGTTTGTTTAAGGTGATTTTCTAGTTTCCCAATGGAAAATCCACCATTTGGGAAATCGATTAAGTGAATAGTTTATATTTTGGGGGGCCCCCTTAAGCAAATCCAAGATTATGACTAAGAATCATTTACCCTGTTTACATTCACATAGATATGAAAAAAAACGTTTGATCAGGTTCCACAACAACCACCCTTGTTCTTCCATATCTGTGTGAATGTACTGGAGGGTACAACTGTGATGTATTGTAGATGCAATATACCTGTAGTGAGATGGGTGAATCGAAACCAACTGAAACGTGACCATTATCGCAATTTTATGTCTACATCCCCACCAAATATCTACATGCTGTTCCGGACATATGCTGTCTGTATATGGATTTATACAGGTCAAAATCGAGGTACCCAAAAGTGGATGGTTGATAGTTTTTGGACAATGGATGACAATGGCCAAATCGTTTTTGTTGTCCATACCCATACCATATTCCATCATCTTTTAAGTTCAAACAAGAATTCACCTTTTTTTCTTTCAAAATTCGGTCATTTTAAGGGGTTATCCCGTACATTTAATTCGGTCACCAATGGGAAAATTTTAGCCAAACCATCGGCAAATCCAGGATTACAGCAAGACGATGTAAAGGATTTAAGGAATCATAACATGGGGAAGAAAGCAACATCAAAGTATGGATTAAGGAACTTAAATCAGTTGGTTGATAGATTTCCCTACTATGGCCTATCATAATCCCCCAGCAAATTAGCTCGTATAAGTCCCATTCCATTTCATAATCATCGACTCAGTCAATGCGGGTTTCCATCAATGGGGGTACCCCCAAATCGTCCGCTTTCATAGGATTTTCCATTAAAAAGCATTCATTTTGGGGTACCTCAACTTATGGAAACCCCCAAATACAGGACAAGATCACTCATCTGCCAAGATACGGGTCGAGCATTTCCAATGTCCCACGCAGGCTGCGGTTGGCCCGCAAGAGACCTGGAAATGATGGCGATGTTCAAAAACGTCCCGGAAAAACTCACCCACTGATGGCGAGAATAAATTAGCGCAGCGAAAATTGATACTTAACCATCAAACACGGGAAATTGGTATATTGAAAGGATACTTCTTCGCTAAATTCAAAAACAATGCTCTATAGGCTAGGCTGAAAAACAGGTACAGTTTCATTGGTGCAATGGTACGCTTAGTATGGTAAGATTATATTGCCCTACCAGGTACGGTTGGTACGAACTTCACAATTTAGACCTGGTTCACCAAGTACAATCAAAGTTTATGAGTATGAGAAATTCTGCGAGTCACAGATTGGAAAGCAGTTAATCTTCATTCTGGAACCTCACCAGATCCTCATTCCTCATTTAAGCCTCGTTCCGGAGCCTCACCGAAACTTCAGTTCTCATCTAATCCACATTCTGGAACCTCGTGAAATCATCATTCCTCAGCCAATCCTCATTCATGACATGTGTATGCATTACAAACTGTAAAAAACACCTGGAATCAAGGTCGAAAAAAACATTAGATAAGATCAAACTGTATGCTATTACAATTTATTGAATAGAAAAGTTTGATATAGAGATCACAAAAACATCCGGTGCAAAGTCATCAAGTCATCAAGATCACCAGTGCAAATCATCTTCTCAGAGGTTCACCAGCAGAACGAAGCTACCAAAAAAGGGCAGCATGAGCAACGCTCGATTTCTTGTTTTCCGGATCCCAGTTCCGACCGACAGAAATGCTGTTTCCGTCTTTCCGGAATCATCACGCATTGCTGAAAAACCAAGCTCTATGTCACCAACGCGACCATTTCTCTTGTGACCTCACCAAAGTCTCAGACTCCCGTCCTGATTTCAAGGTGGTCAACCCCGACATCAGTTTTTACCAACATCCATGCCAGCTTTGACCATCGGCTGGATCAATGGCCATGCAACAGGAACCGAGAACAATTGGAGGTACCTATATACCATCTATTTTTGGCCTATAAATTTCAGGCCTAAATTTCAGGGAATATCCCCACAATTCATATGGCCAAAAATACGGTACAGATCGGTACCTCCATAAAATCGGATCCTGGAGATCTCCCATTGACTGGATGACAGGTTTGATGGTGTCGTTTACCACATTGCGCCCCAGCAAATCCCCCACCTGCAAAGAGCTGGGCGGCCATGCGGCGATGGAAGCTGACATGAACACCTGACAGAGTCAACTGAAGCCGCCAATGGGAAGATGGCTCTTTTAAACAAAATGCTCAGTTTATGATAATGATAATGGTCAATAATGATAATAATGGTGATAATAATGGTTATATACCTGGTTGGTGGTTTCAACCGTCTTGAAAAATATTAGTCAATGGGAAGGCAATGGGAAGGATGACATCCCATATATGAAATGGAAAATAAAAATTGTTTGAAACCACCAACCAGAAAAGATTTGGCTTTTATGAAAAAATTGCACCAAGCCAAATTGTATGTCTGAAAAGAGGCGAAATTCACCCAAAAACAGAACCGCTACCATGGGTATGATCCTCCATCCTGGGTATCATCATGGCCAAGTTGAGATACCCTGCAAAAAGATGTGTTACCCTCTGGTAATTTGTTACAGTTTGCTATTGAAAATGGCCCAGTCGAAATAGTGAGTTTTCCCATTAATAGCATGGTGGATCTTTCCCATCAGTTTTTTGTATGTTTACCAGGCCGGGTATATTTTGCCGGGTAAACTCAAAAAAATTAAAACCATCCCCAACATGACCATTTTTCAAAATGCCTGGGATGTCAACCATCCCCAAAATGCCCAAATGGTCGGTCTATTATTATTGGCTTTCCCACAATGAGTCTATAATATTTATATATATATACCCTCTGGTGAACTAACATAGCAATTGAAAATGGCCATTTATAGTGGATTTTCCCATTGAAAATGGTGATTTTCCATTGCTATGTTAGTTCACCAGAGGGTATATATATATATGGGTAAATTATAGTATTTCACTAACCTGAATAGTTCGGCCATTTGGGGATGATTTCCCTAAAATAAACCATGATTCCAGGGTTCGGTCGCAGTGAGGTCGTTATATATAATTTATCCAGATATGTATAAACCTTTCCCCAGCGACTGAGATCTGCGGGATGGTTGCCTTCTCTATGACGGAATCGAACCTGGCAAAGTCCCACAAGGTCGGGGAGTTAAATTTTGGAATGGAAGGATGCATCAATAATTCATGGGGTTACACCTTGTAACTTCCCATGTTCCTGCAGGCTTGCCGGAGTGGCTTGGGAATTCTTTTTGACATAGGTAATTGCTACGTCCTCCACTTGGGAATGCTCATAGAGTTTCACGGAGCACATTTTATAGACAGGACTCTGATGTGCCTGATAGCGAGTGAGGAAAAGCATGTAGTTCCTCAGGCAATGGCGCGTTAAGGGCGAATTGAAATAATCACCATGATGAGAATATTAATGTCAATCATCATCATAATAATATATTAATAATCATAATCACAAGAAGAAGAACCATTATCATCCTCATCATCATCATCATCATCATCATCATCACCGTCATCATCATCATCACCATCATCGTCATGGTCATGGTCATCGTCAGGGCCATGGTCAGCGTCAAATCTGAAGACCAACGGCCCCACATAGGGATGGGTAAAATGTTTACCCTCCTTCCGTGCCAAGGTGTGCTTTAAAAAAATCAACCATTTCATTCGATGATCTTCAAATTTTCCAAACCTCTATAGCCTGGAATGGGGAATATCCATGAATATCCAGCATTACTTGACATAGCTATGGAATATCCACCATTTTTTCGTTGATTTTCCCTGTGAAACCTCCATCTGTTCGGGGATTTCTCAGCTAACCGTGGATCCTGGTGTATCTCTCGACAAGTCATGGTTGATCTCACATACTCCAAAAGGTGTGCTGGAGAAGCAGCATCTGATGTTTCCCCGTTCAGTAGACCTACCGTTCACATCCCCTGGAGATAGGTAAGTTGCTTTATAATTGGGATATCAAACCGGGGTTTATGGTAGATATACCCTCTGGTAAACTAACATAGCTATTGAAAATGGCCATTTTTCATGGGAAAATTCACCATAAATGGTCATTTTCAATAGCTATGTTAAATTACCAGAGGGTATATCTGCAGTGGGATGGGTCAAAATCATGGTGAATCTACACCCAGAAAAACACTAAACCCCTCAGCAGCGAGCGTCACTTGGTCACTCTGCAGGGGTACAATGCTTTGCTTCGTGGCCAAGTCCTGCCATGCCATGTCTCCGGCGATGGAAACGCCATTGGCTTGGCACATGGTGCTTCACGCCCCATGCCAGTTGTAAAGCACCAACGAAAAAAACGCAGCACCTGCCATGGTGAATCTATGTGAATCTTGAATACCCTGCAACATTCACGCTTAGATTTTCAGCTATGATATGCTATGATTCATATTAAATATGATAATATGCATATTCTGCCAAGAAAATGTCTCAAAATAGCAAGAAATGAAGCTGAAATTTCGCCCAAACATTCACATTCCCTAGGCTTTTTCCAGCTATGTTCCCCCACCTTCCAAGGGATCTGGGGCAAAACCTTGCGACAGCAGCTTTCCCAATCTTCCACTGGCAGCAACCAGTCCTGACATAGCGGTATCACATGTGGATTCTGAAGCCAGTCGGAATTACGCCAGCAGAAAACTAGGAATTAAGATGAGTCAAGCCAATTAAGCCGGTGAACCATCAAAAAACACCAGCAAAAACGTTGCATTTCACCGGCAAACGTATGTTGATGTAAGCAGTAAACATTCGGATTGAAGCATCAAAAATGGGCGACTCAGGACTGAGGGTCATGTTTTTTGCGGCCCAGCGGCCAGCTCAGCAGATCTCCTTGTTGAATTGGATGGTCACAGTCAGTTAGATCTTCAGATAAATCATAGAGTCATTCCCGAAAAATGAGCAGTTAGATCATCGTAAACCCCCTGATTGTTTTAAGGGAAATGTTACAGAACCCCCCTCATATGTTGTGGTAAAAACAAGTAAAAACCATGGTTTCAACCATAGATTTTCCCAACTAAACCAATTCATTAATCCCTATTAATCCCTATGAACCAATATTAATCAATATTATTCCCTATTAACGCCTATTAATCACTATATTCCAGTGGCTCTTCCCAAGACTGTTGCTGCATCTGTCCACAAGTCGAAAGTTTGACTTCTAAACTTCCTTCGATTAGTCACTATTAATCACTAATCCCTACTAATCCCTATGAACCAATATTAATCAGTATTACTCATCAATCTCCATTATTTAATCACAGTAACCACTATTAACCATTAACTATTAACCACTATTCATCACTACTAATCCCTATTAATCCCTAATAATCAGTACTAACCACTATGAAAAACCCTATGAAACCCTACGAAAATCCCTATCTTCTCAGAGCTACGATCGCCTTCTGGGAATCCGATGCGATGAACTCCGCCAGCAGCTCGTGTTTTCGCTCCACCACCGCTTCGATCACACTGCCTGGCCATTTCCGATGCGGCGAACGAATCGAACTTCGGAAGCGATGAGTTCGCCATCCCAAATTTTCCACCTATCTATGGATAAAACTGCGATATAAAACTGGGAGATATATCATATACCCTCTGGTGAACTAACATAGCTATTGAAAATGGCCATTGAAATAGTGAGTTTACCCATTAAACATGGTGGATCTTTCCATAGTTTTTTGTAAGTTTACCAGAGGGTATCATCAACTTCATTTCTGAATGGGGATATATCCCAAAAAATGCCATCCAAGAAGTGGAAAAGCCATGGCTTCCTGTTCACCATCAACTGAACGAAAACCCATCGGATGGCGGGAAAGCATGTGGAAAACCCATATCGGATCCATAGAAATAGCCTCTGGAAAACGATCGGAAAATCGGAAAATCATAGGAAAATCATAGGAAAATGGAGGTTAGCCTCTGGTAAATGAACAGAACTATAGAAAGATCCACCACTTTTAATGGGTAAATCATGGTAAATCCACTATTTCGACTGGGCCATTTTCAATAGCAAACTGTAAACGTTTACCAGAGGGTAGATGATAAACATGATGATTTACGTGTTCTTAAAAATGGTGATTTGCCAGTTCGCTACGTGAAAAATAACCGGTAATTCCTGTCTCTATTCACAAACAGCTTCAGGGTCGCATTTATCCTGTAAGTGATGCGAAATACTTAGGGCCTGTCTACGGTGGGTATGAAATATGCTTCCATGTGTGAATTGACATGAAACCAAACAACCAACCAACCAACCAACCAAGTTTACCTAGACAAGAAGATAGGGTTTATACCCTCTGGTAATTTAACGTAGCTATTGAACATGCCCATTTATAGTGGATTTTCCCATAAATTGTTATTTTCCATAGTTACGTTAGTTTACCAGAGGGTAATCACCTCTCTTTTGCTTCGAAAGTGCGGACTTCATCCAGCATCCAATTGGTGGTCTTGGCATTGCTTCCGATCTGAAGAGGATGCGGTTCAAGGGTTACTGTTTCCAACTAGAACTAAGCAGATTTGATTTCAAAACTTACCCTCTGGTTGGTAATATACTATTAATATATGGTTAATATTAATGGTTATTATATGGTTAATGATGGTTTACCTACAAACCAGGTAGTATACCCTCTGGTTATGTCAAAATAGCTATTGAAAATGGCCATTGAAATAGTGAGTTTTCCCATTAAACATGGTGGATCTTTCCATAGTTTTTTGTAAGTTTACCAGGCCGGGTATCTCCAAAGTTGGAGGTCCCCTCTACTCGAAGATTGCCGAAACAGCTTGCATCGCTTAGACTTGCCACAAAATTTGGATCTATAAGTCGGTACCATCCCTCATTGTTGAGACAAACCCATAGTGACATAGTGCTTATGATATGTTACTCTATCCCTTCTATATATCTCTATGTCATATATGATATCCAATGATATCCCCAAAAATTCTTGGGTTTTAGATCCCCTATCCCTATCCCACCAGCGTCTTCACCGCTTCCAAAAACGACCGAGGGGCGTTCCAAAGGGCCTTCGGACCTCGGCTGGAGCAATTCCAACCTGTGTTTTACCATCCAAATCGACGGGAAAATCTAGGCAAGTAGTATACAGGATGGGGCCCCCGTTCGATAGCGTTCAGTTGGTGCAAATAAGTGGCTGAATTCTATGGTTTATGGTAGATATAACGAACTAGTTACTGGGGATTATAATGGTTTATAAACCAACTTATAACTGGGGGGCCCCATCCTGTAGAGCTTCAAGAAATTGGGATATGGCTTACGTCCGTGACTCGTGTGGTGAAAAACTGGTGTCTGCATGCACCCGTAGATGGTGTCCCAATCAGATGGAACACATCACAACGAAAAAGACTTTAGCATATCACCGACAATGGAGCTAATAATACCCACAGGCACCGTGTGTTGCCCAGACCCACAACTATGATGTTAGATGATGTTAGATGATGTTAGATGATGTTAGATGATGTCGGATGATGTTGGATGATGATGATGATGATGATGATGATGATGATGGTGATGATGGTGATGATGATGATGATGATGTGTACATATATCTACATATGTGCAGGTTTGACTTCGGATACCCTGCAAGTTGGAAAATGAGACAGCGTAAGTCAGGTAGGCCCGGTACAGCCGTATCACCACATGAAGCCCAGAATTGGATGAAAGGACAAATTACTGGAAGACCCTCTATATATATATATGTATATGTGTATGTGTATATATATATATACATATTATACATACATATATATATACATATAATATATATATATACATACATACATACATACATACATACATATATATATATATATTATGTATAATATATATATATATATATGTATGTATAATATATATATAATATACACACAGGTTTCATGGAAGAGAACATGGTTTCCTGCAATTGTTTTCTTCAATCAATCCAGGTACAAGAGCCCATCCGCCGGGTCGAAGGTCAAGTTCTGCAGGGATTGCTCTGCCTGCGATTGATCTTGCCATGTTTGCGGTTCGAACAAACATACAATATAATATATACCATATGTATATATATATACAATATACATATATATAATACATATATATATAACATATATATATATAACATATATATATGGTGTTTTTTGCTTCGCACAGGCTGCAGCTGCAGCTGAGTGCAGAATCCAACTGTTAGCTATCTGCTTCGCAGAATGAAACTGAGCTTGGGAACCTTGCAGCACCATGATCGTTTTTGACTGAATCACGGAGTAGGAGGGAAAGATCAAATTATCAAACAAGTGGGGGAGGAACAGAAGCAAAAGGAGCAAAAAGGGTGTGTAGACATCTTTTATTTCTGAGGCCGGGCCGGGAATATGCCCGCTTTCGATGACGAAACTTTCGTTGACGAAGCTTTCGGTGATGAGAACTTTCGGTGACGAAGCTTTCGGTGATGAAACTTTCGGTGAAGAGGTGTGCTATGGAGTGTCAGGAAAAAATATTGAGTCTTTGTTGGGCCAATTCGTTAACTAAATTTCTTTGAAGAATGTTGTTGATGTCAAACTGATCTACGTGACCACTTTCTCTATAAGCATCTGCATAGGTTTCGATTAGCCAGTGAGCTCTGGGTTTGCCTACTCGTCTTGCATGTTCAGTTCTAGGTATGAGTGAATTAGGTAGAAAAAGGACCTGACGCATGGGATCTTGTGGGTCTGATCGAATGATGTGTCCTAAGAGTTGAATTTTTCTTTTCAACCATAGTTTTGAGAATTCTATAATTGTTACACCATAATACCTTTGGATAAGTTCTTTTACCGATGCATTGGTCATTGTTCTGTCAACACTTGTGGGTGGGATATGTAGAATTCTCCGATATCCTTTGATCTGAAAAGCATCTAATCTATGAAGTTCTGACTGGTTAAGTTGGATAGTTTCCAACCCATATAAAAGCTTACTCCGAAGGATTGAATGAAAAACTTGAATTTTCCATGGAATGGAGTTTCGCGCTTTGGTCCAAAACAGTTTGAGTCTGTTGCAAGTGCGGATTGAGTCTGCAATGCGGTTCATGACTTCTTGTTTATTATCGACATTATCTGTAAGGAGGGTACCGAGATATGTGGCTGTATGTTTGCGGGGTACGAGGGATCCATCTGCAAATTTGATCGAAGATTGCTTTCGGTTCAAGGTTAAGTTGATGCATTTATCCAAATTTAGTTCCATATTGTAATAGCGGGATTCCGTTTGTATTATACACATATCAAACCTAGACAGATATACAGCTTTGCACACAGGTGTGTAGTCAGTGGATCCACATATACCCATAGCAAAGATGAACCAACCCATTTCAGCAAGAATTTTGACCGCCATTTGGTTACCTAATAGTGGATACCAGTGCTAATTTTGGTATTTTGGTTGACTGGTAAAGATACCCAATTTCCTGATTCCAGTGGTGCCCTGTTTTGAACCATACCCAGAACGTCAACGTCACATGTGATTCACCAACCTGAAACAAGAATCTTCAGACAACGCCAGATCATGTTGTTGGTTCTATGTACTGTATCCAAGTATATACCCATTACGTTCCCCATTATATATCATTATATGGGGATGGGTCAAAACCCTGGTACCTAGTGAACCCCAAGTCATAGCTGGGATTTATGGATGTTCATCCCACTAAAAATGGTATTTTCATAGGTATTGATCCATAGCCATATAAGTCTTGCAAAGACACCCATTATGAAAAACACAACTGTCGCGGTTCTTCGCTGAACCTTTTTTCTGATCATCCCAAGAAGCGTCCATGAAGTCATCACGAAGTCTGAACACGTAGAAAACACGTCCCCATTCGAAAACACGCGGTGAAAAAAATACCCTCTGGTTATGACTAACAGTTTGCCATGGTTTTTCGATGGCCCCAATCGAAATAGATGGCTTACCGTTCTTAATAGCATGGTGGATCTTTCCATGGCTATGTTAGTCATAACCAGATGGTATACATATATATATATTTTTGTAGGAAAAAAAAAGAACACTCACTAGTTTAAAGGAAGCTTCATCTCGACCTGCTTCATCTCAGCTATGGGCACCTCCCAACCCTGGTGTTCCACCAGCTTGAATCCATGGCCTCAAGTCATGTGGGGACCGCTGGGTGGAAAGCCCGGTATCAAACGGCTTCAGGATGAATGACATACCCTCTGGTAAACTAACATAGCTATGGAAAGATCCACCATTTTTAATAGGGAAATCACCTATTTCTATGTTCATTTCCAGTAATGTAACAAATTACCAGAGGGTACAATTTCTGAAACCTCTGGGTCAAGAAAGTGAACCTTAGGATTGATGAATATCAGTGAATATCAAGAAATCGTTAAATGAAACATGTATTCCGACCATTTTTCAAGGTTCCACCAGAGGCTACAAACTCCAGTGAGATGCTAACTTAGTCAATCCAATAAACAGCGAAATTGCAGACATTCACAACTCAGAAATAAGGTACCCTCTGGTTATGTTAACAGTTTGCTATTGAAAATGGCCATTGAAATAGTTGATTTTCCAGCTATAAAATTGTGATTTCCAATAGCTATGTTAGTTTATCAGAGGGTAATTTTGGGATTTCATCCCTTTGTAAATCATCCTAAGGTGACTTCTCTCATTCTATCCCTTGGTGTTTCAACCAGTTCGGAATAGATTCCTGTTTTGTCACGTGTTTGTTCGAAAATGGCCCAGGTCTTTTTTCGGATTTTCCCAGCTACCCTCTGGTAAACTGTTACATAACTATGGAAAACCACCATTTTTCATGGGTAAATCAACTATTTCTATGGCCATCTATACCATAGCTATGTTAAATTACTAGAGGCTATGGGCACCTCCCAACGGTCCGGATCCCTAGGATCCCAGGCCATCTTTCCACACCATGCGCGCCCCAAAGTTCCCCTCAAGGCAGCCGCAGTAGTCACTGGCCGTGAAGACACTCAGAAGCAGAGCCTCAGCACCTGGCTGGCTGGGCGAAGGATTACCCTCTGGTGAACATACAAAAAACTATAGAAAATCACCATTTTTTATAGGTAAACCATCTATAAATGGGCCATTTTCCATAGCTATGTTAGTTTACCAGAGGGTAGCTAAACCAATGGGATCAGCATGGGAATACAATGGGAATCTCATGGGAATATATGAATAATGTATATATATATATATATCATGGGAATATATATGGGATTTGATAGGATTTAATGGGAATACTGAATAAGTAGCCTTTTTCAACCAGAAATAGGTGGTCTAAACCATCCCCAACTGGTTTAGTATTGGATCTAGTCATCTGGGGGGTTCATGTGGATGGTATTTAACAGGGGGATGGGATTAGAAGGGCACCCAACCTTAACTAAACTTAACTAAAAGGACTTTGTAGAGCACCCCAAAGCTCTGAAGATTGGCTATGGCGGCTATGGGGATGAAAACTACGTGCACCCCAAGAAATGGGTAAATAGATATGTTTCTATTCAAACAACATGCTTCTCGCTTCAAACGTAGGAAAACTGGGTCAGTCGACGCATACATCCGTTTCAAATGGCCGCTTTAATATGAAAAGAATTCAATTCAACCCAGGGGAGTCAAAATTTATTTATCCGACATGTCGATTTGATGGTTTTTCCATGGTTTTTTCCATGGTTTTCCCATGGCTTTCCCTAAGATCTTCAGACCTTTCTACGTCACCATGGTGTCAAAAAAAAACCTGCGCCTGGAAGGTGTTTTCCATCGGCAGCCAAATGCCACCTGAGAGGGGAAGAATTTCGATGTTTTGTCAGCCCAAAAAAAGGAGACCAAAAAGCACGAAATATCACTATTTTATACTATTCTAGTATACTTTAGCAGGATCTTATGCGAACTTCTATCTATTAGGATCTTATGCGAACTTCTATCTTTTTGGTGGTTTTTCGATATTTTTAATGATGAGGGAAAATCCGGGATATATCGGATATGATGATGGGGGAAAACGATCATGTTCATTCTGCCAATAATTCACCAGCATTCACCGGAAAAAAGCCTGGAGCATTCAGTTGATCTCTGGGGCTCCGTTTTCTGCGTTTGAAAAGTTGACCAAGTTGACCCATCCCGGATGTTGAGACTACCTGATATCTTTCATCTACCTGATGTCTTAACCAAGACTAGCTGAAGGGAAAATCGACCCAAACAAAAAAACATATACAGTAGTTGATGGGCAAAAAAAACCATGGTTTCCTGCAAGTTGTCCCGGACTAAACCAGTTCATGGACGCATTCAGATGCTGCGGATGCCAAATTTCCAAGCCTTCCAAGCCTCTTTCCGAAGCCAAGGGGCCATTCAAAGCCGCGACCACTGAACTCTTCACCACCTTAAGGGATGCCCAGAAAAAAACAGCCACACAAATGGACGTGTTTGAAAATCGATTGCATACCATCTAGCATACCATAAAAATGGGGAACATCATGCTAAAATATGCTAAACTGCTAAAAACCCATGGGAAAAATCGGGGTACACCTTTTTGGCAAGCCCAAGCACGCACGATCTTGAACTGTGAGATGTGGGTGTCGCATGGTAGAACCGTATAGCCAAGTCATGGGGGGAATCACGTCTTCAGGGGTTTTGTGAGTGCATGTCTTCATTTTGACCCAGACCATGAATTCCCATCATTGGGTGGCGATGAATTTTGGCCCCAAAAAATTGTCACTTTAAGGCACGTGAAAAAAACCCAGCACGTTGATGCTAAAAAAATCCCGACCTTTGTTGATGAAATCCTAAATTCTATGAAATCTCCTGGGATTTTTGCCACTGAAATCATCGATGATTGACTCAGTAATTATTACAGCCATCTGTCCCGCCATCTGGATCCGGCCAGCCATCCGGCCTGCCATCCGGCCATGGAAGTCCCAGATGTTTCCACCTTCCCTGCACCAAACCACAGGGTCCACAGGGTCCAAGGCACTCCTTCCAGGCAGCTCATGGGACCGAACGAAGAGCTGCAAATTCAAGCTCCGCAGGACCGCCAGAGTCACATCCTTGGAGAATTTTCTCGGCACCCCATTGGGGGGGGGTCGCCTAGTGAAAAACTAGAAACAAACACATAGGGGGAAAAAAAAGAAAGGATATTGGCTAGGCTAGCATTCGAACTGTTGTTAGGTTTTAAGGCACCAAAGAATCAGTTGCTTTTGGGGGAGTAACCAGGTGGAGCACCCAAAATTTGGGATTCAACGATTGGTTTACCCTGAAAAATAGTGAAATCGTCACAATTGGTGAACCCCAGTCAGCATGGATTTCCGGATTTCCAGTTCATGGATAATGATCATTCGCTACATATTGGATAGCACTGGATAGTAAAACCCCCAAAAACTCAGCAACCTACGAAAAAATATTAGATTTTTGTTTATACCCCAACGAGGTATGGATATTATTATACATATATATATATATATCATATAACCATAAGAATGTGATAAAAAATGAATTCAAACAATGAACCAACAGGAGTTTAGCAGCCCCCATCACGTCAAGCATCCGGCCCGAAGGACACCGCGTCGCCCCCACGGTCATTGGGCCCCAGCCCCTTCTCGTGCTGTGGATCAGCCCAGGTGGCGTCGTAGATGAGTCTCAGGCGGTTTTTGGAGGCGAAGAAAGAAAGGTTTTGGAGATCACTAACCATTCTAAAACCTTGGGCGGTCGAACAACTTGGGCGTATAATTTCAGTGGAAAAATATGGGACTATTGGAAGTTAATCATAGTTAATATCTATTGATTTATGATGATGATTGATTTATTAACTGGGTATGGATCAATACCTATTAATACCATTTTTAGTGGGATGAACATCCATAAATCCCAGCTATTTTGATGTGAACTACAGGGGTGCAAGGTTTTGACCCATCCCCATCTATGGTTAGTACATCTCAAATTTTACCATGATGGTTTTTGGGGAATTTACCAACCACTAGAGTAAAAGTTGGGATACCAGCTTTTAAAGTCAACCTGGGATATACTAACCATTTTTAAGGACACAACTACCCTATGTGACCGTCTTCGAAGGGAAAACCACCATTGATTCTGGCATTCGGCTTCTGGGGATTCTTGGGGAACCATCTGTGATTGGGATGATGATGACACATTACCCTCCGGTGTCAAACAGAACTATTTGGAAACCCTATATAAAAAAATGGAGCTTTGTAGCTCAGAAAATCATCTAGATAGAATGGTGATATACCATCCAAATTATATAAAGTAGACCAGGTAGACCCTGAAAACAGCCAATTTTGAGTGGCGACTCATCTTCCAACCCCCTATTTGGCAGGGTCCATGTTGATTGCAGTAATACTGGGAAGTAAGTGGATTCGTGGTTGGTTTCCACACGAATGGAGTGCTTACTGTACAATCACCAGCATTGTTGACTGCCTCTAAGACTCGTGGGTTGTAGACTGAGCATGAACAACATTTCTGAGCAAGGGAACAATACTCGAAAATGGTGAACTACGGGATACAATCATGGGGGGATAATTTTGGTGGGGAAGATGGCCAGGAATTAAGGGGAGAGGTTATCTCCTCTTTCACATACATATCATATGAACCCAAAACATGTTTCTAAGTTTTAACAGGCTGCTGGGTATGAATCAAGTCACCGCGTATCTGAAAATAGGAGACCCAAAAATTTGATAGTTGATCGCCATTATCATCATTTGCGTATCACGTAGCTTGGGGGTATCTGTTTGGGGTTTCCACTCCTCGTTTTCTCCTTTGAAATTGCCATAACTTCATGGTAAATAATTTTTTTTGACAAAACCAGATACTGTATCACTTTCTTGGTTGTGTAGCAGATCATATATCCCATTCTATACCTATCATGGTTGGTTTTATACCCACATCCCACTATATATGATAGGTGAATTACCCCCAGTACATCCCATTGTAAAGGTTATATGTATCTATACATTCGACTACATCCCATGGTACAATATCTAATATATCATATACGTTTATTTATACTCGTCATTGATGGTTAATATGCAGTAAAAAAAAAAACTACAAATATCATATATCTACGTTTATTATCGTTTATTTATAACATCTTATACCCATCATTGATGGTTCATATGCCAGTAAAAGGATCACTCTCTGTGAATCCCCGGGATCCTCAGTGACAAAACGGGAAACTGTTTCTGCCGTCCATCCACGTTCTCGGGGATTCGCAAGGGCCGTTCCAGACCTTCCAAGTCCTGCGTTGATTTGTTTCGATGTCGCGCCTTACGCGAGACCGTTGCCTGAGATAACTTGGGACTTGGGAAACTGCAGAAACTCAATTTCAATCATTTGGAACTGCTGTGCTAAACGCCATGCCATGAAGCCAGTAACCAACCACTTCTTCGTCATTCTACATCATCCCAAAGAAATTGTGCCCATGAACTCCAAGCTTTGGGAAATTTTAAAAATGGTGCGATCATTGATGGGAAATAATCATTTGCCCATAATAAACATTCCATCATTCGCTTTTTCTCAGAGAAAGCGACAAAAATCTGGATGAAAATCCTGTGATGGACCACTCGGATGCGCCAAAGGGTAAGTGCTTCACGTCATAGCCATGCTTAGTTCATCCATTTAGACGAAAGGAAAACAAAGGCTCATAGGGATATGCGAAGGTAAAATGGGCATGTCCATTTTAGCTGCGTATACTTCAAAATGGCCATGAAAACCATTTTCGGGAAACGATGAGAAACCAGCACATGCTTTGGTCAATTTTTGGCATTTTTGGGAGCTGTGTCATACCCTCTGGTAAACTAACAGTTAACTATGGAAAATCACCATTTTATAATTTTATAGCTGGGTAAATCCACTATACATCAGCATTTTCAATAGCTTTTTGTTTGTTTACCAGAGGGTATATATATATACTGACTGGTGGTTTGGAACAGTTTTTATTTTCCAGAATAATAATACTAATGATAATAATAATAATAGTAATAATAATAATAATAATTATAATTATAATAATAACAATATTAATATATATATATATATATGGGATAATCCTTCCCATTGACTTTCATATTTTTCTTTCTTTACCAGGCCAAAATCTCTTCGCCGAAAAAACCCTCACCGGGTCCTCGAGTGGACCCCCCTTCTCCCAACATCTGGGGAGCCCCCCGTGCATCACCAGACCTGGGGCACCCCAGGGTGCCAGGGTGCCAGGCATTGCAGGCTGGTGATGGCTGGGAAATCCCCGAAGGAAAGAGGATTTTAGCTGAAATTCATGGGAAAATATGGGAAAATCTCCATAAATGGAGGTTTTTAGCTGATAAAATCATCGAAGTAAGTGGTGAATTTTCCGGCGAGCCACGTTTGAGAACACCCCAGGGTAACTTTAACCACTTACTAACTGGGGACATCCAAGTAGGACCAGGAGGAAATCATCATCAGGCATCAGGATGATGGCACCACAATCAACACAAGCCGCGCATCAACAAGAAAAGGACTCATCCGAACCATGGACCCGTTGGAAACCATTGAAGTCCGAAAAAAACGATGATTCGATCGAAATTTCTCTGAAAATGTTGAACTACACCGCTGGTACCCTCTGGTAAACTAACATAGCTATGGAAAATCACCATTTTCAATGGGTAAATCCACTATAAATGGCCATTTTCAATAGCTTTTTGTTAGTTTACCAGAGGGTAGCCCCCTGCAGATCTGAGCCACAGGTGTCATCCACCACCGCTGCCAGAGGGAGCTGATCACATAATTCACCGAAGGCATCCAACAAGTCGTTCACCTGGAGGCGTAATAAATGTGTAACCCATCTAATGGAGGTAATAATGGATTTTAATGGATTTTAATGGTGATTTATGGTAATTTATGGTGATTTTCCATGGGATGTAATGGGATTTACCCTCTGGTAAACTAACAGTTTGCTATTGAAAATGGCCATTGAAATAGTGAGTTTTCCCAGCTATAAAATGGTGATTTTCCATAGTTATGTTGATTTACCAGAGGGTAGCGACTTTTCCAGAAAATTTGGATGGCCGGTTTTGGATGGCCCCAAAAGCCGACAAAAAGAAGTGATGAAAATGGAAACGTCGGGGATATGTGTTTGATTTATTTTGGTCGATTTCCTACTTGTTTCAACCTCTGCTCGCAGAAAATCAGAAGAAAAAAACTCATGGAAAAATCTGAGCCAAGAAAGAAGAAACGCTAGCTTTACAAAGGTGGGGCCCCCAGCTTTTTTCGGACTCCGCTCCTCATCTCAGTTTCAGCACAAGCGGCGAGATCCAAAGAGAAGTATCAACAAATATTATGTATATATATATATGTATACATCAATACAACATATATATATATGTATGTGTGTGTATGTATATGTGTATATATGTACATGTATATACATCAGTTTCAGCTGGTTGGTGTGAACAACCACCCTGAAACCCCCAAATTTTCCGAAAGGGAGCAATTGTTGGGGGTACCCAAAAGAATTTTCATGCCAACTGCCTGGACCACGAATGGATTAAGCTTTTTTTGGCATTTTTTGCTATGGAAAAACATGGAAAACCCTGCTATTTTTCAATTGCAAATGTACTATAGGGTAATATACCAAGTACTATCAACTACCAAGCAATCAGCTCACTCAACTCCCAAGTACTCAATCAGCCTGTGAAGCTCACCCTGTTTTCTATCCGCAAAAACGGCCAAGTCGTCATGGGTTGTACATACTTTTTTGGTCAATGTTGGGGTGATTGAAACGGTCAACTGTTGACCGTTTCATTAGAAAATCTATGGGTAAGATTGATTGGGTTGATGGAAAACTATGAGTTGTACACTTCAACGGTGATGTTTGGGTTGATGGATTTGTGTCCAGGAAATCGCCAGGAAAAGTCAAGAAAATCACAGAGGAGAATCGAAACACCAAGCATGTCATAGTCTTGCGTCACTTATACCATGTACTTTGGGCAGCTGGATGCGGCTTTCATCATTGGGATGAATATCTGAAAGAAACCTTACCAAACTGTGTGTTCTTTCCACCCCTTCCGCAATGATATGGAATAACCCTCCAACAAAATCCTGGCAGATATGGATAAATGTCCCATGAAAACACAGCAATGATGGGGCAGTTTCAAAAATTGCCATGTTGATTGCCAGGGGCCGATTTATCAATGGAAAATCACCCGTGAAACTAGATGATTTACCTAGTGAAAATAAAGGTCCATGAACCAAATTAGATCGTTCGAGCACCAAAGGTTTATGTCTCTGCTTCGTTGAAGATCTTATTGCCATCTGGCTTTGTCTGAAAATGGGATTCCCAACAATTCTTGGTTGATCACATTATTCCCTATGGAAATCTCCATGTGGATATCATTAACGATGTAGCCATTCCTTTATCACCCAATTTCTCTCGTCGTACGCACAAATCATAGGTGGCTGTTGAACACCGCTCAGCTTTACAGGTTATAAACCATTATGTCACAAATATATATATATATATGTATATATATGTGTATATATATATATGTATATATATATATGTATATATATATCATACCCTCTGGTAATTTAACATTGCTATTGAAAATCGCCATTTGTAGTGCATTTACCCATTGAAAATGGTGATGTTCCATAGTTATGTTAGTTGACCAGAGGGTATCATTTCTGTGTATCTATGTATGTATATATATATTATATATATGCATACATATAAATATACATCTATATATTCCATCATGTTCATTACAATATATCCCCATTATACACCCAATTGTTATTAGTTGCTAGCTATACATGTGGAGAAATACCCCATCCACATTAGCGAGAACCATTATTTATCACTAATGGGCAACAACGTAATCAAACATGTATCATGAAAAAAATAACCTTCAAAAAGATAGAAATGTAATTTACCCTCTGGTAAACTAACATAACTATAGAAAATCACCATTTTATAGCTGGGAAAATCCACTGTAAATGGGGTATTTTCTACAGCTATGCCAGTTTACCAGAGGGTATCACTACTTTAGTAATGTAATAATATTAATCAGTATCATACACTATGGTTATTATAGTTATGTTCACCAACTTAGCGTTCACGAACTGGGGCCCCATCCTGTAGTAATGTTTTTTTACTTTTCTATCTTGGTGCCTTTTCAGGTCCATCTCGCACCTCTGATCGATCCGAGTATTTGGCCTCAATCTCACCGCTGAAGCCCTGAGCAGCATACCTTGTGATGTCGTAAGTCATGGTGCCCCAAAATCCAAAGCATCAAAGCATCTTTGTATTGATGATACCCTCTGGTAATTTAACGTAGCTATGGAAAATCACCATGTTTAATGGGAAAATCCACTATAAATCACCATTTTCAATAGCTATGTTAGTTTACTAGAGGGTAAGACTTGAAACCCATTGGCAACACTGGGCTTTGGGGATATGGCATTTCCAGAAACCACATGAAAAATATGATGATTTGACGAAAAAAATGAGGATGATGAGGATGTTCCCAGCAAACGAATCTGGATTGTACCTGCATTGTGCCTACAAACAAACCGCTATAAAACCTGCACGTACAATGCTAGAAACCAACCTGCTAATCTGAATTTTGATTGGTTAAGAACCTCATTTTGAAAATGGGAAAAAATACCTCGAAAACCAAGGGATTTGAACTTTTGAACTTGCCCCAGCAAGTCAGCCGAATCAGCCAGAAATGCCCAAAAAAAGTGGGCTCAGAATCCCATCTTGAGGTAGGCATGGTAGGCCCAGGGATTTTTGGTCCAAGGGCAGATATCCCAGTGTCATGGTTTTTTGGTCCATGTCTCCGAAAAAAACCTGAGACATCCTGATACATCCCGCTATATGAGTCAAGTCTTACCAGCACTGCAAGATTGCCATCCTGTTTTCCATCAATCTTAGGACCATCCAATACTTGGCATACCGGCATACCATGGCATACCCATACGATTAAATTGTAGTGGTTGGATAACTTGTCCCCTAAATTTTCCAGCTGAGATGTTCCTCCAAGTGATCATCAGCGGCTGGCATGGAAAGGGCCATTTGTTAAAGATACCTTGCGAAAAAAGGCAGCTTAAGTCCCCTCCTGTTGATTCAACCATCTCGAACCCCACATTCGATGATTCAATGGGAGATCTCCAGGATCCTAAAATGGAGGTACGTTAGTACCATATGTTTGGCCATATTTTGGGGGGGATATCCCCTGAAATTAAGCCCTGAAAAATAGGCCTTATATATGGTAGGTACCTCCAATGAATCGGTTCCTGAAATGGCCATTGAATGATGAAGCCATTCACCAGCTTTGCAACGCAGCAGCTTCCAGATTTCAGGGTTCCAGCGCTTTTTTCGCGTTCCAGTTCCGGAACCCGGGGTTTAGGCTCGGGGAACGACACATTTTCATACCCAACAGTCACTGCTGTTGGGAACCACCCTCTAAAAAACACCAAATCGTTGCGGGTGACTGCGGCCAGTAGTCACGATCTTCATGATTGCCTCAGCATATGGATCAGCGGCACCAACTCGAATGGGTCTGGTCGGGTCATCAAAAGATTGAGGGGAACTGCGATGTTTGATCATCTGCTTGAACCACATGTTTGATTTGACAATTAAAGCACTTTTTGTTGTTTGGATGTTTTTTTGCTTAACGCATCCATCTGCGGTTGAGTATCCCTCCACTCACCTGGAAAGTTCATTCTACAAGCACACTTCGAAGTAGCAAATGGCACAATTCAAATGGTCAAGCCCCGAGCCATCACAGGTTGAACTAGACCAATGGTGGAGAAACTTTGTCATATTCGTATGCCTCAAAGTCCTGATCACCCTTCTGTTCACCCCAAAATAGCTAGGATTTGTGCGTGTTCATCCCAAAAAAATCTGGCATTTCATAGGTTGAACGGTTGAACCATCTCATCTCCATATCGCCCTGTATCTCCGGTGCCTCTTGTCACAAAGATGCATGAAGGTAGGGCGATTTTGTAGGCCAGCACCTGCCAGGATGTCAGGTTAACCTCCAAACCCCCAGCATTGCCATGTTTGGTGGTCAAATGAGTTACCAGCCATGGAAAATCACCATTTTAATAGGTAAACCCAGGTAAACCATCTATAAATGGGCCATTTATCCATGGCTATGTTAAATAACCAGAGGGTATTTCTAGTGGTCAACTCCCATGAATATTTCATCCTCAAATCCCGGAATTTAAGTGTTTGTCTTGAATCACCATCTTGGTCGGTGAAATCCCAATGGTTCAATAATCATCATCTTTGTCGGGAAAAAAAACTCATTGCTTCGATATCAAAACTCATAATATATATATATATATATATTATATATATATAATATTGGAAGAAATCAACTTTAATGAGTTAATAAATCAATCATCATCATAAATCAATAGATTAAACAGATTAACTTCCAATCGTCCCATATTTTTCCACTGATGAAACGCCCAAACTAAGTTCGACCGCCATGCCGCCATGCCACAGAGGCCCAAATCTGCAATGCTCGCTGCCCCCCGCGCCGTTCCGAGTCGCCTCGGTCCTGACGGGTCAGGATGAAAGGGGAAACCGCAGGCTTTCAGCAAGGTGGTGCCCCAGTTCGGAATCGCTAAGTTGGTGCAAATAAGTCCAATAACTATGGTTTTTGTTGGTGATATATCTATAGTTAATGGGATTATAACCCATTTATAACTTTCAGGGGCACCACCTTGAGGGTTTCCAGAAACCTTAAGCCCAGCAAAAATCCTGGCTTTAACATGGTTGAACCAGTGAATTTCGTGAAAACTGGAAAATGTCACCATGTCACCAGTCAAAAAAATGGGACTTGACCAAAATCCCGAGCTGAACCAGCAAGAAAAACGGGGGTGAAGCACTAGCGAAAGGGTTTCGCAAAACAGTAGGACAAATGTAGATGTTGTTTAGAAAAAATTCAGCAACCTAAGTTGAGCAAAATAGTGAAAATCTGAAAATCGAATAACCATCACCAGCCCATTTTTGGAGAAATGCTACAACTTTTTTTGGAAATTCACAAAAACCATTTCTTCACGACGAAAAAACCAGCAAAGTTCAGGACTTGACGAAACAAGCTACAAGGAAAATGGTTAATTGCAAACTGGGATTAATTGCAGGACTGCACAGCTATTTTTTCGGCCTTGACTAAGACTAAGAAATATCGATTTTTTTTGGATTTGTTCTCAAACCTGGGGGTGTTGACGAAGGAAATTTTTGGGATTTGAGTTTCAAAGTTTTGTTCACAAACCCAACAAGACTTGCGAAAAACACAAACTGATCACTCTCATCTAACCAATGGCAGTCATCGCTTTTCGGGGACAGGTGTGAAATCACAGCACTCCAATGGCACTCCAATAGTAGGCGTAGACTCAGCAATGGCCACGTGGCCCTGATTTATAGTGCAAGATGCAATTTGGTGATCCTTAAAATGTACCTTTGGGGCACCCCAGAGATTGCGTCATTGCATTACCCTCTGGTAATTTAACGTAGCTATGGAAAAACACCATTTTCAATGGGAAAATCCACTATAAATAGCCATTTTCAATAGCTATGTTAGTCATAACCAGAGGGTAAACCACCCAAAATTTCAGACGACCAGAAATGACGCCAGAAATGTAGTTTGACGCCTCCCAGAAAAGAAAAAACAAATTCAGCACAGCAGCCCCCAGAAAGGCCCAAGACACACAAATGTCGCCATTGAAGATGTATACCAACTCTTTGCAGGGTGTCCCTTCCTTAAGACCAGCACGCTGGGTCCTGGGGGGTTTGGAAAACTTTGGAAAACTTTGGAATAAAGCAGAAGTCCCGTGGAAATGAGATGAAATATCATTATCCCTCAATGCCTTCGACAATTCCCCGTATTCCCCGCACAAGCAGCGCCTTAGATTTTGAGCCGCGCTCCATGATGGAAATTGAAAAACATGGTCCTGCAACTTTCCCTACAATCCAGTGAAATTCAGATTGATTCGTCTAGAGATTTACCAGACAACAATTAGCCACCCCTTCAACAAGATACCCTCCGGTAGTTTAACATAGCTATTGAAAATTGCCATTTATAGTTGATTTTCCCATTATATAATAATGGTGATTTTCTATAGCTATGTTAAATTACCAGAGGGTACCATTTTGGCATTGGGAAGATTGTCCAGAAAAAAAGAATCAACCATCCACGTTTGCCCTCAACCATTAGCAACCTCAATAGGTAAGTCATCTACAGATAGGGGGATTTTTCAGTATCCAGTCCTCCAGAATCACAAGAAAACCGCTGTGTGCAACTTGTGGGGACTGGGTGCTCATGATTTATTGCCACTTTCTTCTTATATCCCCATTATTGATTGTATAATTATCTCGAAGTATAAGCAGTATGGCGTTGTCTGAACACCCCAAAGTTTGATGTTTTATCCTCGTTTTCCCTTAGAATTGCCATTTCGTGCGGTTTTTTCCCCATGTCCAGACCCATATGGCAAAATGGTACCCTCTGGTAAACATACAAAAAACTATGGGAAAATCACCATTTTATAGCTGGGTAAATCCACTATAAATGGCCATGTTGAATAGCAAACTGCTAAATTACCAGAGTGTAAATTTGTTGGGCCAATCGAAAGCCAGGGCCGCAACTGGTTTCTACTCACGGGTGCAGTTCTACTGAATAGGGGAATGTATGGCCATGATTCGGGGGATTATACCCCTTATAGTGGGGGATTACACAATGCCAATTGCACCCCCCAACTACGGGAAATATGCGTGCGTGTGCAAAAATAATAAAAAATAATTAATTAATTAATTAACTAATTAATTAATTAATTAATAATATATATATATGTGTGTTTATTTATATATTCATTTATATAGATACATATATATAATATATATTATATATTTTATTTATTTATTATTTATCTACCTATCTCTATCTATCTATCTATCTATCCATCCATCCATCCATTTATCTATACATATATCTACATGTATACATATATATATATGTTTATTTTTATATATACATATATATATATGTTGATATATATATATATTATAGTATATATATATTATAGATATATATATATTATATTATATATTATATATTATATTATATATTATATATTATATTATATATATATATTATGTATATAGATATATTATATATTATATATTATATATTATATATTATATATTATATATTATATATTATATATATATCATGTATGTTTATATATGTTTCTATCTATGTATATATACATATGTTTATATTTGTAAATGTTTGTATTTGTATATGTTTGTTTATACATATGTTGATATATATATGTGTATTTATCTTTTTATTTATTTCTATAGACATATGTTTTTTATATATACATCTATATATATACATATGTATTTATATATACACATTTATACCCCAATAAAAACCAAAATAGGTCCCCATTATGGCTGTATGCCCATCTTTCTTGGCCAAAAAAAACAATCACGTATATTGTTAATCCCCTTTTTGTTGGTGATTAAACCCCCATTGTTGGTGATTAAATCCCCTATATATCATTAATAACCCACATTGTTGGTGATTAACAATGATTTAATGATAAATCCGATTGTGGGATTATTATATGATTTTCATATGATTTTAATATGATTTTGATTATATCTCAATATTGTTAATCCCCTTTGTTGGTGAAAATCTGATTTTTCATCTGCCCCCCGGCATGATCCAGAGATATGACATAGATCATCCCCGAGTGTCAGCCGTCCAAATGTGCACCACATCTTTCAGGTGGCCTTAGCACCAGGATGTTTAAAGGAATATAATGCGGACTTGATGGGGCTTGATGTGGATCTGTGTGTGTGTGTGCGTCTGTATCTATATATATATAGATATAGATACATATTTTACATGTACACATACGATGTAATGGAGCTATATGACATATATATATAGAGAGATTGATATAAATATATAAATATAGATTGATAAATATATATATATATATGTATGTGATCAACAGTATGATTTTAGGGACGGTTATAATTATGATAATGAACCAGTTCACCAGCGGAAATGATGGTTTTCCCTTTTCGGACAAACCCAATAGGACTCTCCTGCAGCACAGCACTAGACGTCATGTTTTGTCCGAACTTGGAGCCAAGTTAGGTCCTCAAAAAAAAAAAACGCCTTTCCAGAATATCCTATATGTTTCCATATGGAAATCTCCTTCCTGAAATTCAAGGTCTCCAATTGTGGCACTTATTTTTGGGTGCCTGGCCTTTTGGAAAAAAGGTTCAAGACACGTCCAAAAAAAATACGAGTTTCAGAGCTTAAAAGGGCTTATTGTTTAGGACACTTGTTGAAAACATGTGTCAATTCCAATCCAAAGGGAAGAAGATTTGGTGCAAGAAACAGAAAAGAACCTCTGCTGAGTTAAAAAAAACAAACGTTTACTATGTTTTGCAGTCGTTTCCCAGAATACCTTGATTTCAGCAAATTCATATCATGCTTCATGTTCACATACATGTAGTTTCCAGCGTATTTGGAAGTGTAGCCCGACACCTCTGTATGTATACTTCTTATGTATATCCACATGCATTTCACTTGCATCCCACAAGCGTCTCATATAAGTTGCCGTTTCAAAAACATGTCACATACTTGTCACATAGAGTTCACATAGAGCTCATATACAATTCACAACAAAGGCCACATGTCATAGACGCTTCGTGTACGTTTCATAAATGTTCACAAAAGTGTCAACGATTTTTTCCACAGCGCCTGGGCATGTTTTAACCTGGCCATAGACACGATGAATCTTGGCATCGACCTCACTCTTCTGATCCAAATATTTCTGGACGGCTGGAAACTGCATGGAGACACCAAATATCGGTATCAGCATACTGCCCAGAAACCACCCAAGCCAAAAGAATAAGAAGCAAAAAAAAACAAAACAAAAACAAGAAGATAAGAAGCCGAGAAACAAAAGTCACCAAAAGCCACAAAAGCTGCAAAAGGCAGAAAAGTCACAAGTCACAAAAGCCACCAAAGCCAGAAAAGTCGTCCGAAAACCACAAAAAGCCAAGAAAGCCGGACTGGAAACACACAACAAAACACTATGCTATTGAAAATTGCCATTTATAGTGGATTTTCCCACTAGAAATGGTGATTTTCCATAGTTATGTAACAGTTTACCAGAGGGTAATAAACTCCTTTTATTTTTTAGGGCTTGCTATACCCCGAATCCACCGATTTGGAACACCGAAGTCGCGCCGTTGGCGACGATCAAAAAAGGCGAAAGGTGTCACAGAGATTCTACAAGAAACATCTAAGAAGGGCCGTGCATCCCAGCTCGTGAAAGGTTTTATCATGACCATATATCATAAAATATATCCCAGTTATATGGGTTATATATGGGTTATAAACATTTATAAACGACTTACTAGCTGGGATACACCTCCAAGTAAAATTTCATGATTCAAAAAAGCCATGGCGTTCCGAACGCACGACTTCCAACCAGCGGCAACTCCGGTGGATGTCTTTTGGTGGTCCCACCATTTTTCCATTCACAAATTAAGTGGTTGATCACAGGTTTACCCTCTGGTAAACTAACATAACTATGGAAAATCACCATTTTTAATGGGAAAATCAACTATTTCTATGGCCATTTTCAATAGCAAACTGTTAATTTACCAGAGGGTTTCGCGCGATTTCTCTGATGGTTTCAACATGTTTCAACTTGTATATAAAATGAGGCTCGATTGGGAGACGATTTTTTGCTTCAGATTCTTCATCCTGGCGGAGCCCTGTTTGTTGAACCCACAAGTTTTTCTTATCCCTTTTAAAAGGCCATCAACAATCTTTTCTGGTAGTCAAAAATCCCTATGTCTGGTTCTTAAATCCTCAGTTTGGCATGGTTGATAGATATGTATATACATACATATATATATATATACATATGTATATATATATATATGTATGTATGTATAAAAACATAAGCCAATATGATCACCAGGAATCAGGTCAACCAGGAGATCATCAGGAAACAAAAAAAACATAAAAACTGCCAGCAAGGTGCCATGGGTGTCCCCCAGCAGCACCAAACGCCCCTCTCTGGGTACTGCAAGTCGAAGGACCATCGGTTCACGGCGAATGAGCTCCTGTCCCAAGGGGCGAAGTTCGCTTTGCTTCAGCGGCCAGCAACACAAAATGGGGCCGGTTCATAGTCTGATCGACTTATTTCACAATCAATTCTGATCATGCATATGTATGTATATAATATATTTTATATATATATATATATATCTGGTACGTTTAGCTGCATTTACCCTCAAATCACCAAGATGTGAAGGTAGACTCTGGTAGCCAAGCATGGAAAAAAAGCCGGAAATCCCAGGTTGGATTGAGGGAAATCCTTCAGCAATTGGTCCGCGGCGTGGCTAAGATACCTCCATCTTTTTCGGTGCCATTGAGAACACAAATTAATCTCGTTGATACACAATCTTGACCCCGGATGTGTGCCCACTAGGTGCCTTTTGCAAGCTTTAGCAATGAAGTGTCTGCGTTGTTCATTCGCTATATTATAAACATGTGAGGTTGGCTCGAGTACACTTTTATTTTCATACTGACAGTTACTGAATCCATTGATAAACATGTTCCCTTGCATAAGATTAACATCCAAGTACAATAAACGCCCTCAACTGATTGAAGGAACAATTTGGGGAAACATCTACAACTCGATGGTGGCACAAAATAGGTGTCCCATATTTTTTCTCTCAAACCAAGCCAGTGACTGCAACTGTTTCCCACAAAAAGTGGAATTTTACCAAGAGGTCATTGGATCTGAGCAAAGAAATAGTAGTTAATTACTTGACCAGCCCATCAAGATGGTTTATGGATGGATGATGGTTTATGGGGGAAATACCAGCCAGTGATGCCGAAATTGCCATCCTAAAAACAGGCTCTTGCGGGACTTTACAGCACCCGTAGAGTCCAACCGAGTCTCTCAGTTGTCTCAGCCCAATTTTTAGTTTCAGAAGACCCACTTACTTGGACCAATCCTCAACCATCTTTTGGTTGCCCTCTGGAAATGAAACATGGGGATGGGTCAAAACCCTGTACCCCTGTAGTTCACATGAAAATAGCTGGGATTTATGGATGTTCATCCCACTAAAAATGGTATCTATAGGTATTGACCCATACCCACATGGCAAAATCCCCGGAAAAAATGAGGGTAACAAACATGTTCAGTCATGATTTTCGCATTCCGTTCACGGTGCTCCGGACACCGGTCAGACGTCAGATGCCCTTTGTGAAGGCAGGCACTGACTTCATCGACCCATCTCAATATGAGGTGTCCTAAGTCAAAATGGGTACAGTACCCCCAATCATCCAAGTCATGGATGACCATGTTATTTACCCTGTGGTAAACTAACATAACTATGGAAAATCACCGTTTTTAATAGGTAAATCCACTATTTCTATGGCCATTCGAAACCAATGGTTTTGGGGCAAACCATCCTAGCTTGCGCCCATGAACTCCGCGGTCTGCATCATAGGAATCATAAGGTCAAAAGGGAAGCCTGATAATCCCTTTAAAAAGTACAGAAACCATCTGTTGTTCAGAAACCCAACCGAAACGTAGGAAATGGTGTTTTGAAACCTCTAATTTTCTTCAGTTGGGTCCTTACAAAGCACCCATTATAAAGAAATGGTTTTCCATTGTAAGTAAACCATCCATTTCAGTGAAAGGCCAATTTTACCAATGAAAAAACAGCTGTGGTTGAAATCTCTACTTGGCTCTCCTTCGCCGCTTGTGCCAAGGCAAGCAGCAAGCTGCAGGGCAGAGGATCTTCACCATCGCAGCAACGCCTGTCCCCAGACACTCGAAGGGAAAAGAAGAGCAGTTGAAGTCAAACCATCAAGTGGAAGTGACTGAAAAAGAAAAACTTGACAAATAGAAGTGGAAGCTGAAGTCGAACCAAACTTGACAAATAGAACTTAAAATTTGATGTCAAATCAACAAGAGCAATATCCGCGCGCTGATTAAAGAAAACTTGCCCAAGAATCTGTTCGACGTGTTCCAAAAATAGTGTCAAACCAACGAATGATGAATGTTCGCCCAACAAGAGTAATTTCAAACCAACCAAACAAAATGGGAGTGTTGAACCGGCAAATGTTCAAGGCTTTTAATGTGCACAAATTGCAATTTTAGACCAAGTTAAAAATGTGCCGAGTTCGTTGGAGCTGCCAAAGAATGTCGATCTTAAGACCAACCAAAATATGGAGCTTTTTCAAGCAGCAAACTTATGTCAAATTTTGAACAACCTCAAGTTGGAAATTGTTAAGCAAAAACTGCAGAACTGGACTAGGCCTTGAAGAGATCTACTGAATTAAGATGGGGAGATCAGCGGTTTCAACCAAAGGTCCTGATAAATTCGTAGCAAACCCAAACCTCATGGGTTTGAAAAGAAATGATGGTTTGTCCGGTGTACAATTTGATGGCTATCACTGGGGAAAATGATGATGATGATGATGATGATGATGATTGGTCTGCCATGAGACAGAAATGATGCAGGTTGCGAGCTTTTCGCTTCAGCTGCAAAGTTGTACCCAGGAATTGTCATTGTTAAGCCGGAGCGTAGTGAAATACTCAGTTAGGGGGAACACAGATTTTTTGGCCAATCTACAGCATGGAGTTTCACATTGAAATCTTCAGAGTAAATTCATCATCCACGGTTCATTTTCATTGTTCCCCATCAGATTTCAAAAGTAATACAATGCTTTGTGCTTCATTGCGAGCAGCTTCCCTACACCCCCCTGGCAATTTTGAGAGGTCGAGCGGCTGAAAGACGTAGTGAGCATCATCCAAGGTCAGCTGACCTGCCCATAAATGTCAGTGGCACAAGCGGCCACGGCTTGTAATTGGGGAACTATCCCTATATGGCTCTTACCTAATCTCTTGAACCCTGCCATAAATCCTCGCCAAAACCACCATGGTCATAGAAGGGAGCTATTTCTACCATCCAAAATGCTCGGTTTTTATGGCGTGGTAGGGTACCACATAAAACCCCAAGACCTGGTCCAGGATGACCCCTTTACATGGCCCTCACTTGGTTGGCTCCTGGAACATCCAATATGGCCTGGAACATCCATCATGGCTAAACAAACCTCCAGCCAGTTCGCTTATGGGGATTTCCCAGGCAACGTTAACATCGGAGGCTACAGGATGGGGCCCCCAAGATAGCTAAGTTGCCTTATAAGTGGCTGATTTCTATGGTTTATGGTAGATATAACGAACTAGTTAATGGGCGTTATATTGGTTTATAAACCAACTTATAACTGGGGGGCCCCATCCTGTAGGATTCTCCTGTTTGGTCAAATCCCCACGTGAAACCTGAGATTTGGGCACAGATTCTGATAAAATATCTATGATGTAGTCTCAGATTATATGGCTGGTATCTTAAGTCATGGGGGATCCCCAGTCGTCACCATGGCTGTTTCAATACTAAGTCATGGTCATCCATGACTTGGATGATTTGGGGATACCCCCATTTTAGTACACCTCATGTTTGCATTCGATATAAAATCAACAATTTGTAATTATGGAATGGGATATGCAACCAACAAATGCGGCATGCAACCACAGTTGTGGCCATCAAATCATCAGGAAATGTTGGTCGGATCATAAAGGATGTGTCATGGAGTCCATGAAGCATCACCGGACACCCGAGACCATCAACAACTGTCCAGTGAAAAACGTACTGTTTCAAAACCCACTGCTTTGGACATGTTCTCTAACAAAAACAACTATATATCATATCTCAGGCGCTTTCACTCACTGTTTTTCTCTACAACCATGGAAGTAGCGCTATCAAAATCATCCTCAGCTTCAGGGCTGCTCCTTCTGAATCTTCTGACCGCTGAAGCGGTACGTCATGAAGCACCCAAAACCCCACCTTCCGCCAAATGGTCAAGCACCACGGCCCAAGGTGTCGATAAGCTCCTAAGATCGGGGGTGGTGTTTCCAACAAATGGGGGTGAAATGGAATCGTCATGGAATCATCATCCCAGGTAGATCTAGGAAAATTGGAAATGTGAAAAAGACCACGCACCAAACAACGATGGCTGGTTGAGATCAAACCCTTAACCCTAAACCGGACAAAGGGAGCCAATCGTTTGCCACATGCTAATCTTGGGTCAAAATGATCAACCCCCTACTAATCTTGGGCAGCGTTTTGACCCAAAAAAGACCGTTTTGTGTGTCACATCTTTCGATACTTTGGCCGTTTAGACCCTCTGGATGTTCAACGTAGCAAACTGGAAAATCACCATTCTTTATCGGTAAATCATGATAAGTCATCTATAAATGGGCTACGGCTTCCATAGCTATCTTGAATATCCAGCTGCTCTGGTTGATACCTATACGACTTGACCACCTGAATGAAATAGTCGATGACTTAACTTTTCGAAAAGTTGTTCATCAAGAGACTGAAGAATAAATCCATGTAGGGCTCCTGCAGGTCCCCCAAAAAGATCGTTGACTTTGTGTTTGTGTTTACCATCTGGTTATGACTCACGGTTCGCCATGGAAAGATCCACCATGCTATTAAGAACGGTATTAAACCATCTATTTCGATTAGTGCCATCGAAAAACCATAGCGACCCTCTCGTAATCTAACAGTTTGCTATGGAAAATCACCATTTTTCATGGGTAAATGAGCTATTTCTATGGCCATCTATACCATAGCTAACTGTTAGTCATAACCAGAGGCGAACTCCAAGAACTAAGCGATCTGCGTCCCTTCCAGCGAACGCAGCGATCTACGACCTCAGGATGGGAGATCCTGGGGATGCAACCAGTTTTGGGGGGGGTACCCGGCCTGGTAAACATACAAAAAGCTATGGCAAATATTTGGAAAGATCCACCATTTTGAATGGCTGAATCATGCTAAATCCACTATTTCGACTGGACCATGTTCAATAGCAAACTGGTAGTTTACCAGAGGGTAGTATGAGAAAACATCATTTTAATACAATGACAAAGTGGATTTTCGATAATATGAGAATATCACCAACAATCGATGGGCGATTGAAAAACACTGATTTTCCCACATATGTTTTTTTCGTTTCCCTGTGCATTTTCCTGCCACAAATCTTGGATGGTTGGTTGATCTGCTGCCACAAATCGATGTTTCCGTTCAATATGGGGATGGGTCAAAACCCTGGTACCTAGTGAACCCCAAAATAGCTGGTAAATGGATGTTCATCCCACTGAAAATGTATCTTTCGGTATTGACCCATACCCATATGTGGTGAACCGATCTCCCAAAAATAACAAAGGCTATGAGTCTCTGGCTACAATCCAAACAGACGCTCAAGTAAACTGAGACAAAGTATGGGTCAAAAATGTGTGGAAACCGTTGATATTATCTTGACATACAGTAGTCAACATGTCGAAAATTCACCGTCTATGTATCATGTTCGCCTTCCAACAGATGTTGCATGGCCATGTTGATTTACTGCTCCCCAGTGCCTGGTGGTGTGGGGCTTGGTGACAAAGACTGCAAGGCACAACGCTGTTTCGATGAGAATCGCAAAGCATCACTTTCACTTTTGGCCTGGCATCAATCTTGGCATTGGACCCTTGAAACACCTTGAAACACCTTGAAACACCTTGAAACACCTTGAAACACCTTGAAACACCTTGAAACACCTTGAAACACCTCACATCAACACATTGCAATTCCTTCAACTAAAACCACATGTTTGGCGTGTTGAGATTCCCTGACTGGCGAATCACCAATGTCGCTAAGTTCTCATGACTTCATCCGGACGGATGGTTCAGAGGAGTTGTTCTTCGCCGCTTTCGCCAAGTGCTTCAGAGTTTCCGGGGGTGTTCCAAATTGGATGCTGGATGATACAGTACCCTCTGGTTATGTCAAAATAGCTATTGAAAATGGCCATTTATGGCCATTTGTAGTGGATGTTCCCAGCTATAAAATGGTGATTTTCCATAGTTTTTTGTAAGTTTACCAGGCCGGGTACCCCAAATTTGGGTGTCCCATGTTTTCCCCTCTGAAGTGGGGAACCAATGGACCCATCTACCCAGTCCACCTTTGATCACCCCCCAGAAGCCAGTGAGCCATGGATGGTTTCCGAAAAAAAAAGGAGAACAACGCTTCGACTTAGACTTAACATGGAAAAATGTCAATGGCCATTGTCCAAAAAGGAAAATCATCTTCCGTAGCACTTCCTCTTTGGGGGGCTTACTAACCAAGGGCCGTCACTGAGAACTTCCGATTCGTGGGATGTACATCCGCTTTGATGATCCCAGGCATAGGAACTGCTTGATAACCCTCGTTCATATGTCCCTGATTTCTGGGATCATATACACATAAGATAGACATACATAGATACATATTTAAACAATCATGTACATATATATATATATTATACATATATATATATATGTGTGAATACATGTACGTATATATACATGCATGTATATAGATATGTGTATATATATATACATAAATGTCCCGGCGGACCGAAAACTGTGCTCGTAAAAGCATGTTTTTGTGGCGAAGCGCGAATTCATTTCTGAAAATCTTCCAAAAAATGGATACCAAAATTTGGGGTTTTCGCGTTTTACCACAGTAACAGCTCATTTTCATCGAAGGGTTTTTGTGGAGGCTGAAAAATAACATTTTTTCGTCAGAAAATGCGTGTTGATGCTTCAATCGTCTTCTGCTGCAAGTTGGCACTGCGGTTTCTGTACCTCCATTGCCAAGACCTGGCGTACAGTTGCAAGTTGTGTTATAGGAGTCGATAACAACGCACTTGGAAGTTGATATAGAAGATAACTACGTATTTGCAAGTTTTACAAGCGTCGCTAACGTAGTTGGAAGTTGATAGAGCCCCATGCAAGTGGTTAGAGAAGTTAGTAACGTAGTTGGAAGTTGTTAGTACTAAAGACGTTAATAGCCCACCCCACCCCACCCCACACCATCCCATGCAAGTGGGTAGAGAATTTACTAACGTATTTGGAAGTTGTTCATAAAGCTTAAATTAAGAAGTTAGTGACGTACTTGCACGTTCTCAAAAACGTTGGTTTTACGAGCATGGTTTTCGGTCCGCTGGCATAAATATGTATATATGGTCACATATTAATGGCTGAACTATGATTACTATACAGCCATTCATATGTGATATTTTTTTATGTGATTACCATACCCTATAACTATAATAGTTCAGCCATTAAGATGTAGCCATACGTATATTACCCTCTGGTAAACAAACATAACTATGGAAAATCATCATTTTTAATAGGTAAACCATCTATTTCTATGGGCCATCTATTCCATAGCTATGTTAAATAACCAGAGGGTAATAACTATGATTACTACTCAGCCACCATCCCGGGGATCCCTAGTGCTGCGGCCTCTAAACCTTGCAGCAATCGACGCACCACAGCTTTGTCGGGCGGAGTTGCAGACACCTGACAGGTACGCGGGGATTTACGGCTTAATGACCATAGATCAATGTTATTCATTGACCAATTGATCTATAGACCATACCCTCTGGTTATTTAATGACCATCTGGTTACATCAATGTTATTGATCAATGACTCATTAACCAACTAACATACCCTCTGGTTATGACTAACATAGCCATGGAAAATGTTCACCAACTATGGTATGGTATAACATACCCAACTCATACCATGGAACTAACTCATTAACCAACTAACATACCCTCTGGTTATGACTAACAGTTTGCCATGGTATAGATGGCCCATAGAAATAGATGGTTTACCGTTTTCAAAAATGGTGATTTTCCATGGCTATGTTAATTAACCAGATGGTAATTCTCTAGTTGATGATAGATTGTTAGTTTCTTAGTTTGGCAGAAAAAAAAACTGCCTAACTAACTTAACCAACTAAGTATCTATTTGTCCAACTATCTAACTATCAAACTATTAGATTAAACCATCCATAAATGGATCGAAATTGGGAAATGCACGACATTGCCACTTTCCATGTTGGTTGTATATGCATCTATATATCAAAAACCAATTGTAAACGTGTACAATAGATCAACCAGAAACCAACAATTAGACTAGGTTTTAAGCAACCGATCTGTCTGTTGGGGTGGGCACGTTTTGCTAATCTATTGGACATCATGAATAAATGCATGTTTTTGCGCCTGTCTATTGCCATGTTGGATATAGCTAGTCAGTCAGTGAGTGATGTCAAAAGCTAGTTCATCAATTTGGGTTGTTCCCCCCAAATAGTTAGGAGTTGCTATGAAAAGGGGTAACCTCGACCTGAAAACCTAGGAGGCTGTGAATAGATGATGAACACGGACTGGGATGCATCAAGGAATACTGTACAACCCAGTTCCTATCCATTTGCTCATCATGGGGATCACTAAAAAGAAACCTAGACGTGGATTCTGCCTCAGGTGGAATCCCTTCTAGCAGGGGCTCCTGAGCGAAAAAAAGAGATGGCGTTGTAACGATTTGTCGGAAAATGAGTCATAATGAGACATGTGATTTTGCACACCATGTTCAAACGGACTCTTATATCAATGGCCGTTTCAGGTATCTAAATTGGAGGTACCTACCATATATAGGGCCTATGTAAGGGGATTTGCCAACAAAATAAATATGGAGACTTACATGGTACCTCCATTTTAGGGTCCTGAAATTCCCATTGACTCATGGGAACAGTTTAGAATGTGTCACACGTTTTGAAAACGCCTTGGTCTTCGGGCTGCCATGAGGTCAAGATCCTCGCTTTGATTGGTCACTGGACACAGTGACCGGGTGCTTTTGAAAGACCGGACACGGAAAACAGCACCATTTATGGCAACAAATCAACACATGAAAGCATTCACAAGCGGATCTACCCAGTCGCCAGTCTACCGCTAAAAATGACCACCCCATCTTTTCAAGAACCAATGTTCAGTTGAGCAAAAACCCACTTTTCCCATGTTTGTTGGGTAAACCTCTGTCTTTGTTGCTTAGATCACCATTTGTTTGTGTTCAAATCCATACTTTTTCTTTGTTAAATGCTTGTTGGGTAAATCTCAATTCTTGTTCCTTAAATCCCCATGTTTGTTGGCAAAATCCCTATTTCTGTTGAAATCCAACCCCATCTTTCACCCCAGCTGATGCCTTTTTTAAACTTCCGCTTCTGGATGATACGGAGCCTGGAATACCTTGAGGCCGTGGCACTCGATCCAGAACGGAATGGGGGATACTACCCCATAATTGCCAATGATTAAGGCTAGGGAAAATATGGGAAAATGATATTCAAAACCGGGTGGAAGTTTGAAAATATACGACCAATTTGCAGTATGCTTGTGGGTCAAGTCATTGTAATATCCATGGACCGACAAAGTTGGCGGCGTTAGCTTATCACAAGAAAATGATGGAGCTTACCTTCAAGAAATGGAGAGTTAAGCGAGAAAGGTTGGGAATATGGACCTCACAACATGGCGATCTAACTTGAAAAATGTGGAGACAAGTGTCATAACATGGCGAAATGATATTTCAACTGGTGAAGATCAATGTTCCCCAGCAGTCACTGCCCGACATTGCTGGCTGTTTTTTTGGATCTGTTCATTTTGGGGATCCATTGGGAGACATGCCGAGGCACCATTTCATGTTCAGAACCACTCTTGTGGCAACTTTCTCTCAGTGGAGGGTGGGATTGGGTGAAAAATATTAGTAAATGTATGTGGTATATCTGTGCATCTCAAGAACAGCGTCAAAAACCTAGTTGCGACATGGTTCTACTGGTTTGGTTTGTTTATAGCCATTCCAATCATGGTTTATTTCCTGATCCCTGTTCAACAAGTCAGTGGAACCCCACCGTGGGAACCCCGCTAATGGTTTATACGACCCATTCACGAAAAAAATGTAGATCGTTCATTAAAGTTGAGGCGTTTCTTCACACTATTATACAACCATAAACCAGTGGGTGTTTTTGATGCTCATGTGATCCCGGCTCCATATTCGAAACCTCCCAATTCCACCTTGGAAGGTATTCTCGCCATCCGCCTTCAAGCCTTGCAGGAGGCCAGGAGGATCCAGGAGGCCAGAGGCCAGCTACCCTTCGATGATCCACAGCTCGTAACTGGGTATAACCCTGGATACTAAGTCCCCGAAACCTGGGTTGATTCCATGTATATCTATATAATTATAATGACATATATATATATATACCGGTGCACAATCTGCTAGAGTCGGAAGGATGATCTTGCATGGCCGTTGGATCGAAACCAAAGGTTTTCGCATGAAGAAAAACCATTTACCAGTTGCTGATCATTATCCTAGTAGGATTTTGCTGTTCGATCTTTTTGGGGGTTACTATATATAAATCATTATAAATCCATAGCTACATCGGCCATTCATCCGGCAACACCTTTTTGGGTTTTCAAGGGATCAAGAGCTTGGATCGGTGAATGTTTTGGTGGTGAAAACCAAAAAAAAAACCTGAGTGGCTTCGTTCACCCCAAAAGCAGGGCGCCGTTTTTTTTCGAATTCGAATTGATGCAAAATCACCCACAAAAAACCTTGGCTTTTCACCATCAAGTCAATATTGAACTATTGAACCACCAAGTATCCGGCTAATCAAACACTGGAAAATCCTCCATTTATAGATGAATTCCCATTAGACCCTCCATTTAGAGTGGATTTTCCCCTGATTTTCCCCTGATTTTCCCATTGAAACGGCCATATTCTTCACATCGCCACGGCCATTTTTCGCCTATACGCCCAAGGACATCATCCACTGAGGACACCCTGCAGAAACGCGAGGGACCTGGCGGTGAAGAAGAATTCATAGGTCAGGAACCGGATTTTCTGGAAATGTTCCTGATTCCAATCGCACTCATCATGACGACCTATAATGATCTATAATCTATTGATTATATGAGTGATTTCAGGAACATTGGACTTCATTGGAGCCAGGATATCGGATGTTCCCTTGTCAACTCAGTGGTTTTCTAAAGCTGTTGTGTTGCGGGAAAATCCCAGGCTTGTGGCTAGTCTTACTATACATACTAGAGACGTAATAACATAGCTGATTATCCGGTCTGATAATCTATCTTGAAAAGGGCCACAGATAGCTGTGCTGGAAAAAACAGCAGGGTGGCCCGAAAAAAAAGGAGACACAGGCTGGTGTCACCGTGGCTAGCCAAACACCAGCGAGCAAAAAAAGGGCCGGCAACTGGCTGCACTGCCTGAACATGTGCCAGGAATGCAAACAGGCGGCTCATTAGCCCCAACATCGCCCTTCAGCGAGATTCACTTCGTGAATCAAAGGGGAGCAAGAAAAGGCACCGGGGGCTCAGCTCAGCGGGGTGTGGAGGAAGTGAAAGTGCAGGGGGCATTCAGCAGATGGGGCGGAGGCTAAGGCAGGCTGATTATATAGGACATTTACCATCTGGTTATTTAACATAGCCATGGAAAATGACCCATTTATAGATGGTTTACCTATTAAAAATGGTGATTTTCTATGGCTATGTTAAATAACCAGATGGTACAACCATTATATAAATTAAACTACCCTCCACCAGTCAGCGTACTCCTGTTTTTTCAATGGTGAACTCCTCCATGTTTTTCTGCAGCGAAATCCCCTGTTTTTTACGACTTGCTGTTGATGCCTACGTCCAATTGTATGCTCAAATTGTATGTTTTCGTGTTGTTCTGGTGCAAGTGCAGCGATAAACACTCCTGTTTTGAAACGTGGGCCGAGTCAGCAGCACCGTACGGTGCGGTTAGGTTTGATGGACAAAAGAGGTGGTAGTGGGTGGGCCTTTTTGGCCATCAAATCGCCTTATTTTAAGGCAACCCTCCCACTCCACCCTTGAACTGGAGATTGCCACATGATTGAAAGTTGCTGCACACGTCCATGACTGTCCTTTGCACTAACATCACAATTCGATCTTCTACGAAGAGCTTCATCGTGTTGTTCTGGTGCAAGTGCAGCGATAAACACTCCTGTTTTGAAACGTGGGCCGAGTCAGCAGCACCTCCCCCTTTTGAATTTTTGCTGTCTCGCCTCTTGCACTTCCACCAGAAAACGTTCCAAGCAATTTGCAGCAGTAGATGAAACATCAAGCTTCGACTCCAGGAAAGGGTGAGTTTCGCCACGGGATGGCACGTCTGCAATGTTGGCTTCCGTTGGAACCCGAGCGAACCACAGGCAGCTGTTCACGTCTACTTCTGTTTGCAAGTGTAATCTCATAATGGTACCAGCTGTAGTACCCAAGCCAGTCCCCCTGATTAGCGCATAACGCACGCTATCATTGTCTCCATAGTGCACTGAATAGGAGGACCTCAGAAAACCAGACCAAACATCAAAAGCTAAACACGCTGCAAGCATCTCCAACTCGTAAATGATTGTCTCTTTGTCACACGCTCCAAAAACTTTGCACATGCTTGTATCAAGCTTCAAAGAAAACCAGGCAGCGCAGTCTCCACTTGCGCTAACCAAAACTGCTCCAAGCCCTCCATCTTTGGACTCTTTGTCGTATGCTGCATCGGTAAAAACAAGCCACTCCTTGACAGCCTGCGTACTGACAGTCTTTGGCCCAGCTGTCAAAAGTCTTGACTTCATCATGTTCAGCACGCCAGCAAGGTCGTCATCCACATCAGACTTGGACCCATACGCGTGATCCACCAATCGCTTGAGAACCAGTGCGCCCAAGCGTCCGTGTAAGAATCCATCTGCGAAGCCCAGTCTGCCCCGCAGCCGAAGAGTCTCTGGCCTGTTGAGACGGCGCTGTTTGTCAACCTCACTTAGTTGTTGCACAAGATCCGCAATACGAGACTCCGTATTCTTGATTTCCAAGGTCCCCAAGCATGATTTTGTCAAATCAAATGCAACACCCAACGCACAGCAAATTTCAGAAAAAGTCGTCGATTTCTTTCCCTCCGTAGCAAAATCCCAGCCAGTAAAAAGAAAAATCAGTTCCATGCTGTTCTTTGCCGACTCACGCAAGGCTCCATTGCTGGCCAAAATAAAGTCATCATAAAAATTTGTAGTGACCAGTTTGGCTCCCCTGGCTGCAATGAAATGGATCATCCGGGCAAGGCGCAGGAAGTTGTAGACGCTATGAGTTGCTCCAAATGGAAGCGTCCTTGAGCGATATATTTCCACCGCACCTTTCTCACAATTGTAGATGCAGAAGTAACCGTATTTCAGGTGGTCAGAGCGTATGGGAATCTGCCGGTACGCGCTCTTCAGGTCATATGTCTTTGCCTGAAGGGAGGCATCCTTTCCATTCGCTGACATCTGCTCAAAGTAGGCCCGTGCAGCAGCTACAAAGGTGTCGACAACATGTAGATCCAACTTTGTATTTATGGTGCAGCTATCGTTAACTCCTGAAATGGAGTAGTCATCAATCATCCTGACCTTTTCGCCCTGCTGCAAGGCAAACCTCCTTGATATAGTTGCCCCGGCCTCCAAACTTTGAAGGTCCCAAGGCCCGTCAGCCCATCCTTTGGCCAGCTCCTCCTGCGTTTCCTTGAGCACTGCTTCATCCATGGCTGCAGAGCCTGAGCTCTTAGTCATCCCCAGTATCAGCAAATTACGCTTGGCTGCACAGTCTTCCAGCTGTTGTAAAGTTGCAACACAAGGCTTGAACGCGGATTGGAAAACTGCTGAGGGTTCAATTTCTCCCGCCAAAGTCGACCCCTTCTGCAGGAGGTCCAGTACTTCCAAGTCTTCATACCCAAGGCTTTGCAAAATCTCCCGGGTAAGCCGCAGACGTTTCTTTGACGTCGACGGGTGCCGCTTTTTGGCAGCAGCTTTTTCTTCAACTTCCAGATCTGCTGCTCGTTTTAACCATTGTTTGCACCATTCCAATCTGTACTGCGCCACTTCTTCCAGAGAGTGTTCAACATGAAAGTCAATTGCAGATTGAATATCACTTGGCACAAGCTTGCAAAAATTGGCCGGGTGCCCCATCTGAGACGCCTTCTTCGTAAATGTATCAAAAGTCCAGGGTAGCCCAAATGCTACTTCAAAACACTCATCACCGACCTTGACACCCCCCGTTGTAGAAAAAGGTGATGTTGTTGCTGAACGTCGCAAAAACCTTGAATGTTCAGGCACAAAAACAGTAGCGCCTGTTTTTGTGAAAACTTCCACAGATTGCTTCAGCTTTGCCTGCAGTGCACATGGAATGTCTGCCGCTCGTAAAACATAGAAAACACCAGTTGATGCAGAATCAGGCATTAAAGGAGGAAGCTTCGACTTCCGGGATTGATTCAAGGCAGTGATTCTGGCTGTCTGCATTTCAAACATTTTCTCATCCTTGATGTCAAACAAAGTATTGGGGGGCAGCTCCAGATGCTGCCGCTGTAGCTGCCGTAGGACGCACTGCACGACGGCTATGCAGAACCGTCGCGGGTATTCAGCCTCCAGGCTTGTAGCATACACTTCGTTCCCTGCTGCGTCCATTGTTTTACCCCAAGGTTGGTGTGCATGTTGCCGATCGCATGCAATATCCAGTTCTGAAATTGAAGCAAAATTTGCAACCAGTCTTGTCCACTTTGGTCTTGATCCACCCATCATACACATTTGAGAGTCTGAGTGGAAAACCTCCATGTCCAGTTGCAACTGCAAAAATGGATCCGTCAACCAGAAAATACTTGATGACGGGTTCTCCATGGTCACCAAGATTCGTCTTGAATCGCAGTGTTGAAACAGCTTGCAGGACTCGACATACATCTTGTTGGCCAAGTCGACACGTTGCCTCTCTTCGGAGGTCAAATCTGGCAAGCCCATTGGATAGGTGTCTGACCTTAACGGTCTGGGCCCTCCATTTCGGATCTGTCGTGCTCGTGAGCACGTACCACAAACTGGGGCAATATGAACCCAGGCCACAAGGTCTGATTCCAACCAGTGATACAAAAGTTCCTGGTCCTTGGGATCCAAGATATCGAAGACAAAAATTGTCGCCTTTGCACCTTTCTTTCGCATCTTGTCCAATGCAAGTGATCCATCCAAGCCAAATTGCTTGGCGACTGAACAGAGTGTGGCTGTTCCACTGAAAACTTCGATCATGTAGCACTGGTTTGCTACATACCCTGTCCAGTCTCTTGCATTTTGTCAAGAGCTCTTTTTCGGGTGGCTTTGGAGTCCATGCGGTTGTAAGCAACGTGGCTCAGCACACAAGTGCCACCCCTTACTGCAACGTTCACCGTCACGGGCCAAGTCGCAGCCTTTTGACGTGTTGTATCCAAAGCATAGTGGCTCACCATTTGATGTCTTGTGCCACTTGTTGCGCATCTCAGCCGGCACGGGGGGCGTTTTGCCCTTTTTTCCTTTTCCTTTTCCCTTCTTGTCAAAGTTCCCTGGTGCTGTAGCCTTTGGCCCCATAGCGTAAGGCCCTGTTCTCTGTGTCGTCTGCTGGGATCCTTGGGCTCTGGCCAGGGGTGCCAAGTGCAAAGCAATCATTGGATCGCTCCTCAACTCCAGCAACTTGATTCCCAACGGGAATGACTGGTCAGCTGCTTGTCGGACTGACCCCATGCTTGATCCCAGGCGTGTGAAGGCCGCCTTGTCACACAACATCACTTGATGCAAACTCGGCTTGTTGTATCCTGGTGGCGCCTCACGCTGCATGGCCTGCAATAGAAAACTGACCCAGGAGCTGTGCTGCTCGTACGACATCAAGCGAGCAAACTTGAAGGCGATTCCACGCCGTGTCATTGCCTGTAAAAATTGAATTTCACTGGCAGTAGGAGCAACAAGCTTGTCCTCTTTGTCCTTCACCACAAGTGAGCCTCCCTCGAAAACGAGCTCCTTTGTCTTGGAGCTTCCCTGTACCTCCTGGCTTCTTGAAGTGCACGCCGAGGGTTCCAGATACTTCAAGGTGTTTGACTCGTGAATCTGGCAAGCTTTCTCTAACAAAGCATGTGATGGCTCATTTTCATCTGCAATAGTGAGCCCTCCAAGCTCTGCCCTTATCGCAGTCATCCTGGTTTCTCGTTCTGCTGCACCGATCTTTTTCGGTGCTGAATCTTCCCTGCTGTCAACCACCTGTCTCAAACTTGCTACCAGTAAGGTCTGTGCCTCAAATGCCAGCCTTCTAACATGTGCATTCTCCGCAAGTGAGGGGTCTCGCCCCAATGCACCCCTCAAGAACTGATCAACATCTTGAGGAGATATGGGCTGTCCTGGCTGCCCAACTGCAAATGCTAACTGAGACAGGCTGCTTGCACCTGCATCTTTGATGGCCTGAAGGGCATCTGGACCCAGACCGATCTCAAGGGCCCGGGCAGTAAACTGCGCTTCTGACTCAAGCAAGAGACTCATCGCTCACAAGCAGAATCTACAAAGGTGATAACGGACAAATCAAAAATGACATGTTGCAACCACACATGAAAACAAAATGCAAGTGCATCAAAACTGTCCTGCCGCCTTAGTGTTCAGGTTCAAACATGTCAATCAACTTTCACTGCAATGGATATCACCTCACTCTCAGACATGCACTGTGCTTCAGTTACCTATCTCACGTTTTCTTTACGTCAATCCCTTAGGGATCTTCTCTTTCTGATGCTCCTTTGAGCCACCGTCTGCAGCATTCTGCAAATGATTCCCTCTGGATCAAACTCCCGGCTTTCCGGCTGACAATCTCATGTCCACAAAATCAATTTTGTCAAAGTGGCTTTCCACTACTCAAATGAAAACTCAGCTCTTGGATGATGAGGGGACAAAGTGAAGCACATGAACATGTTGTAAATGTCTCTCTGAGTTCATGCAACATGCACTGAGTGAATGACTGACCTGTTACCTTAAAACGCCTGTAACAAGTAAAGGAACTCAAACCAACAATGCAAACACACTCGCAGCCATGCAAAATTTGTGCAACTCAAGGTGAAAACATCTCAGGATCCAACGCCTTTGCGCTTTTTGGACGCTTCGTCCAAGTGCGCCACAAGGTCAGCATGACTTCTAATTCTGTTTCCATCAGTGACAAAGCATCTCATGCACTTTGGATACTTGAAGTGAAACACTCGCGCAATTTCTTGAAAGTTTCCACTCAAACGTGTTTTGCAAGCAGTGGTGGTCTGTCCTTCCTTTGCTTTGTGCAAAATCCTGCTCTTTCTGTGAACATGATAGCAAAGTCCAACAGGCACGTGTTCAGTGTAAGCAGGCTTGGGCACTGCACTGGTGAAGTACTCTGCCGAGCTATCGTCGCTATCCTCACTGAGCTGCTCCCAGATGAGCTGTCAATCTCTATGAGGCCAGCCGCTTGTATGTCTGCTGAGAAGCCCCCCATCACATTCAATGCTGCTTCACATAGGCTCTCAAGTTCCGCCTCAGTCTTGCATTCGGTCATCATCGTGGGAGTCCTCTCTTGGCCTTGGTTCAAACCCCGTTCCACCACCACTGCAGCTTCTGAAATGCCAGACGCCACATTCGTCTTGCCCGCGGCATCCACGGCATCGCTTGGAGGAAGTGGTGTCTGTGGAGCTTGCTGGTTAAACACCGGCGTTCGAACCACACTGTCAAAACCTGCATCAAATCTTGCAGTAACCTCACGTACCCTCTCATCAGCTGCCCCAGGGTCAAGACCGATTCGAACCTTCTTGAGCAGCATCTGCAGTTTCCGAATTGCTGCTGTCTGCAAATCACGTGAGTAGACAATGTCTGAACCGTGCAGTGCAGTAGCATGGTGGCTGAGTGTTGCACGATGCTCCTTGCTGAACCCTGCACGGGCTGCCCAAACGCACAACGTGACCTTCATGCTGTGCGCACGTATTTTGTCAACATTCTGACATCCTTCCAGCAACTTTCGCAACCATGCTGCAGCTTCGCTTGTACTCAAAGGCCTCGCACACCAATCATTGTTTCCCTTGGGTGCAGGCAGAAGTGGTCCATAAGGAACCTTTGTCCAATCAAAGCCCTGTCTGTGGCACAGGTCTATGAAGACTCCTATCCAGTCTGTCTGCACAATTCCCTCTGATGGAATCACCAGAGGCAAGAACTGTTCCCTGCGCAAACCAACGGAACTGGTCTTGTGTTCTGAGGTGTAAAGGTCCAGTGTGGCGTTTCGCTTGTATCCATCATATTTTATATGGTGAATGAACCTCAAGTCACTCCATCTTGCACGAGCATAAATTGCACATAAGAAAGCGCCTGCACCAATTCGATCAACATCATTGTCACCTCGCTCTAAGATCTCATGGAGCTTGAGCAAGTGCTCCACTTCAAGGGACGGTGCCTGACACAGAGGTCCTTTTTCCTGTCGTTCCACTGCAGCAAAACCTAGCAAACGTTTTGAAGCCAGAATCGCATCAATCCAATACATCCCAATGACATACTTGCAAAACCGCAGTGTCTCCAGGAAGGTTGAGCAAACTGTGAAACCTTTCTTCGACTCCTTGCGTACCTCCCTGAGGTGCAGGAAGTATCTCCATACATCATGCTCGGTCAAAGGAAATGGACTCACATATGTGTCACTTGCACAACATTCCTTCTGAAACCATACAACATACTGTCGTAAGCTCGCTGCACGCTTCAATAGTGTTGATGGCGATTTGACTCCAAAGACTGCCCTTAGTGATTGCTCTGCCAGGTCACCTGATGGATCAGCCTGCATATCAGAAGCCGCTTGTTCACCAACACTGGAACACCTCCAATCAATGGAAAGTATCTCAAGCCACTTGGAGGTTGCAAGTGTGAGCTGCGCTTTTTTACCTTCCACAAAGTCTAGATCTTTAAGACTCCGCACAGCACTCATGTATGCAGGTCTCACTGCATCACAGTTGTCTGCAAACAGGACATCTGAGGGCAACGACTGTCTTGCAACGTCAGGCTGAGACAAGTTGGTGGTATCAAAAATGGTGGGTGCAAAAGCTGGCAAAACACTGTCACTGAAAATGTCACGCATTGTCCCAGTCTCCCATGGCAATGGCAAGGTTGCTGCAACATTCATGTTTGAAGCAAATGCATGTGCCAGCATTGAGTTCCATGAGTTCCCTGTCAGAGGAGCAGGTTCTAAGGAGGCAACTGGCAACTCCACGCCAACCGGCATTGTGGACTCTTGCTGAAGCTCTGAAGCTCTTCCAGGTTCAAAGCTCGAAATTCCAAAGTCCAAAGAATGCTCAAAAGTTTCACCGTCATGATGTTCAAACATGTCACCTCCAATCAAGTCACCAGTCTGTTCAGCGTCTTGCAAGTCAACCCACTCCTCCTCGTCTCCTATGCTAGGAACATAAGATACTGACCTTTGATCATCGTCCATGGCAAACTACGGAACCAACTACGGAACTACACAGCACCTACCCCCAATGACCTTTTTGGCCATCAAATCGCCTTATTTTAAGGCAACCCTCCCACTCCACCCTTGAACTGGAGATTGCCACATGATTGAAAGTTGCTGCACACGTCCATGACTGTCCTTTGCACTAACATCACAATTCGATCTTCTACGAAGAGCTTCATCTTGTTGCTTAAAATCAATAAATCCGCGTTTCCAATGGTGAAATATTTAGTTAAACTACCCAAATCACCAGGTTCAGTTTCGGAACTCAGCATCCAAGCCCACCTCGTGCCAAAGGGGTGAAAATCACACGCTGTCCTACCTTAGGCTGCCAGCGGAGGTGCTTCTTAGAATAGGTTATATTTGCAAACAGTCAGTTTATGGTTTTAGGTTAAAAGATTAGAAGTTTTGTATTTTTTGGCCTTGGGTTTTTGACGTTTGTGGTTTGCTGAGTTCAGGGGTGTTTTTTTTTTCGGAAACTAAAGTTGTGGACCTGCATAGGAATTTGAGCATTGAGAAGGAACAACAATTGCAATATGTATATATATATATATGTATTGTATAAATTTATATATATATATATTTATACATTCATCCGGTATGTAGATACATGTGTATATATATATATATACATAAGACCCATTGAATAACATAGAGTAGGTAAAATATACAGTATCCAGTTGTATGTTGTATGTGGTTGCCACACAAACAATTAGATTGGTCTAGTTTTACCACACAAAAACAAATATGGTATATTGGCAACGAAAATAGATGTTTCGGGCCATCCAACAAGAACAGGAAAGAACCAAACATAGACGGGACACAACCAGCTTCTGTGGGTCCTGGAGTCTCATTTTCTACCACAGAGACACTTGTTTGTGGGACCCAGAGTTGATTGTCATGTCTTGTGATGCACATTTTGCAACAAGTAGTTGTACAAATGGGTGTGTCTGAAAATAGTGTACCCCTAAACCCAATGGTTAATGATCACTATCCCTATCAAATGGCTATAATTGGGAATATATCCTATTTTCAGACAAACCCAAATGGTTTGATTCAAGAGGAACAGTCATGACACTCCATCGATATTGCATCCGCAGCAAGAGTTACCATGCCCATTTAACTGGCAATTATGCTGCCGTTCTACCCTGAAGATGTTCGTTGGAACGAGCTGTTCGTTTTCCAGACCTGCGCCCCCTCCAAACACTTCGGTTGCCTTGTTTGAGGACCATCTCCAAATTCGGGATGCCAAAAATGCTGAAAGAAACGCCAAACATTGGTCCAAAAAATTGTTCGTAAAAAGTGCCCATGAATAGAAAGTGGGTCAAGCGGGTCAAATTACCAGCTCGAATCTTGACCATGGCATCTCCAACCCTTGAAACCAGTTTTGAAGTTGCGCCAATATTTCCAAGAGACTTCATACGGACATTCCTCGACCGGTTCCTGGCCCATGATTTGGGGTGAAAACCACATGGCTGCAAGGTGGGGATTGCAACCCATAGCCAAATTAATGGTACAATGTGAGGCCCCCGTTCGATAGCTAAGTTGGTTTATAACTCCAATAACTATGGTTTATGGTATTTATAACTATAGTTACTGGGGCTTATAAACCAACTTGTATCTTGGGGGCCTCACATTGTAGATGTTGGAATGCATCTACGAAATCTTGGAGTCATTTTCTATCCATTGTGCCCCCATCGCTAATACCGAAGGTGAACAGAAGGTGAACAGAAGGTGACCGTCAGCTTGCCCCATTCATCCGCAAGGTACAATTCTCAGCGGAGCTAGGAATTTGCATGACTGTGTGACCCACAGACCGAGAGCTTTAGGCTGCCCATAAGTTTAAAAAAAATCTTCCAGTGATCCCCCACCAACTGAAATTTTATCTGACATACCTATCTTTCATGATTTTTGTATTCGAACTTGGTGGTCCTTTCGTGAGTCCTGTCCGGAAAAACCATCCCACAGGATCTGGCACCTTCAACCGCAATCGTTTTGCCATGGCATTGCATGGCAGTTCTGCGAGGTTTCTATAAATTTGGAATGGGTCAAGTCACATATTTGGCACAAATGAAATTAAATGAACCCATACCAATAGAATCCAATAGATCATTTTTCGGATGAAAACATCCATTTTATGCGGCTTGGCGAATTCCGATCCCTGCCCATATTGAGAGGCATATATATCATATCTACACCCCAATACACTAATACTTTTCCTGGATGTAGGGAACCCATTGGTTTGAGCAAAATGGGGAAACAAAAACAAAAATGAATAAATCGGGATGATTCGGTGAAGCTGGGAAGCATTTGCAGAGGTGCGTATGCCGTCAAGGTGCCGTAATTCACTGTTTAACAATTTATGCGCATCAAATAAACAAATCATCTGCAAATAGGAGAGTATATCTAATAGGTTTTGTGTTTTTCATTTTATAAAAAGATATAGTTGAGATATATTGGAATTTTACATTGTCTTTCATTGGGTTCCAAAACGTATGGCCAACGATAGTTCAACCAAAAAAACGCGTTTCCAAAACATTCATTGATGGGTTCATCTTGAAACCTTCTGCTACATCCTAAATGCCAAAAAATGCACAAACAAACAAAAACGAGAATTGGGGACCTGGGATACCTGGGACACAATTGTCTGACCACCAAATATTAAGGACCCAAGAAATTGCACTGCAACCCGTACCGACATGATCGATTTTCCGTCAAAAATCGTACATTTTTGAGTTACTTTTCCAACCTTTTGCCCTTTAGTTCGCCTTTCAAACCGGCGACCAACCAATGACATGTGGCCGTGGGGTTCGCATCTACTTTCGAAAAATTAGGCAATACATGAGTGTAAATCCAAATCCAAATTCGCGATTTTTTTGAATATGAGTTCGACTGAAAACTCGGCAATAAGTGAGTGCAAGATCTGTCTAATTTTCAAGCACAACACGCGCAATTCAAATTTCGTTTCATGAGGTCATCTTGAAACACAGAGATCACAACAAATTCCAAGCAAAGCAGTGTCAGTTGCACTTGTCACGTCTGAAAGAATACCGGGAGCTGCTTTACTGCGAAGGTTCACACGGAAACGCAAGCAAATCTTTTGTGCCGAAAGGGCCTCAACGCAATCAACCTGAAACATGATTTCATGTCAGCTACATGGAGGTAGCATCACTGTTACATCTCGATTTGTGTGTGTCATCCTTGCTGTGAGTGGGCCGCCCAATTTTTTGAACTCCTCCTCAAAATGAAGAGGCATCTCGTCATTTTGGCATCACCAGCGCATTCAACCAGATTTCTTCTCTAGCTGCGCACTGGTACCTGTAAAGTTTTACATCACCTCATCAAGCTTTGCATATCGGTGACGTACAAATGATTTTTTTCTGCTCTTTCATCCAGTCCACGGTTTTCGATGATACCTGTATAGTCGTTGGCAAATATTCCGCACCAACGCAAGCACCCGCATTGAAAGTCCCTCAACTTGAGAGCAGGCGGAGGCGGACGAAAGGTAGTGTAGTGGGAGAGGAGTGGTGTCAAAATGCTGCGCCCCTAAGATGATACACCAAAAACGTTTTTGCGCAGTCTAAGATGATTTTATCCAGAGCATGACTGCATAACACTGTGTCTTGTGCTGCGTGAAATGATGCACGAAAAGGGGTTTATTTAAAACCCCTTTTTAAGACCCCTTGCAGCAACTGTTATTGAGGCTGAAGCATACCAATTATGCTGGACTACAGGGACATCTCCCTCATGGAAAGTGTGCCTCTAATGTGGGGGCCCGTGACCGCGTCACCCGTGGGAATTGAACCCATGACCATTTTCGGGGGGGGGGGGCCCTTATAATTGATATCCAATACATAACGGCGAGAATTCTATGAATTGCACGGGCTGGCCCCCCAATACCCCCTAAGCTTGTGCTGAAGCACGGAGAACTCAGGTAGCTGACGCTACCTTTCGTGACATTTGGGCCTGAGGTGGCCTCCAGCAAAGTTACAATTGCTTGTTGCAACTGACTGGACTCATTCCAACGCTCTCCTGCAAGTGTATTGTTCTGATCCCTCCGAAGGTTATCCAGCAAGATTGTGGCATCAGGGGATACCTCCGGATCACTTGTGGCTGCTTCTTCTTCTCCATGTTTTTGTGCGTTGTCCTCTGCTGCAACATCTGTTGTGTCTGATTGGTTTCTCAGATTCCACAAAACCAGATTGGCACGTTCCTGAATCAGCATGTGGGAACGTTGTTCCCTATTGAGGGTTTGGTTCCGAATGAAACCCCCAATTTCCATTATTTCATATCGCAAGCAATCCATGAACTCCTCATTGCTTGAAAAGTTCTCCATGGCCTGTTCTTCAAAGATTGCTGTCCTTGTTGCCAGAGCCTCATGTAGCTCTTCTGCATTGTTCAGGCATTCATCCAATCTAGCTGCAAACTCGTAGTGATCTGCCCATTGTTGTTCTGCTGAAATCAGGTTCACTTGCAAACCTCCAACTGCGATTTCTGCTTCGAGAATTCGTTTGTTCAAACGTTTCCATGCAAGAAAACCAACTGTGAAAACGCATGTGAATAAAAACAGCAGCAAAAATCCACCATGCATTGTTTCTCGGTTCCTCTTCAACTCCATGGCAAACATCTGGAAATGCCATTGCTACTGCAGGCCTGTTGAGTGGCTCAAGGCCCATTGCAAGTCACATCCTGTAAATGGCTTTTGCAATTCGTTTCATCTGCGAAGCACTTCCAACCTTTTCAGCATGTCTTGAGAACTCCTCCTGTCCAACATCTTCAAAGGACGGGATGTAGATCAAACCTGTTTCATGCATGAGATACAGAAGCCTTTGCCTTGTCAAACACTTTGTACCAATATCTGCAAGGTTTTCACTCGTTCCAACTTGTCTCAAAGCTACTGAACCATCTTGCGTTTTCTCCTGCACCCACAAGATCTTTCCACTCAAATGGCGGACACGTCCGCTGCCCTGTCTGCATGCCAA